CCTGCTTATTTTCTGCCCACTCGGTGTACATTTTACAGATCGATTCCTTAGCAAAACAATAAAATCTATTTTAGAATGATTACTGCAGTATTTCAACAATTGATTTGATATGTTTCCTAGAACTGATGTATATTTATCATCAAATCAGGGAAAGCAAGAAGCTTTATTTTCTTATATTTTCTAATCTTTTTAAAGGGTATCTTTAAATTGAAACCCCATAGAAAATATATATATCTATTTCTCCTTATTTTTTTGTATATAAAATTTTAACTGGACAGACTGCTGCTCGGCAGCAATTAGCTGAATGAATGGCGGTACTAGATGTGGGGTTTTTTGAGGGGGCAACGAAACAGTAGTAACCTGTTTTTCGGGGGAGTGAAAGGAGAGTGTGTGTGTCGTTTCAAAAATTTATATCTCAATTTCACATCTAAATGCGAATAATCTTTTTTCCTTTTTATTTTTTCTATACCAGTCTGGTTGTGTGTGAGTGTGTGTTGAGTGTGTCCATTGAGTGCTATGGGTTCATTTGATTTGTGTGTGAGAATTGCTGCAGCTGTTTTGGCATTGGGGCTGGGACCTGGATCCACCTTCTGCCTGTTTCGACGGTGTTTAACCTTTTACCATAAACTGATATAGATCTAGTGAGCTTTTTTTCCCAATTTGTGGGATTTTTTCTTTCTTTATTTGTTACTATGAACATTTTTTGTATCGCTGACAAACCACACAACAAATTTGAATCCTTTTAAATGTGATATCAATGAAAAGTATCTTAGGTCTAGCCTTGGGACTGATATCTTTCTAAGAAGAACGTTTTGTGGTCTTTGGCAAATATAAAAATGTTGAGTACAACCTTAAATGGAATATAAAATGTACAAAAATTTAACAAAATTTCTAATTGATTCACATTCTACCTTCTTGCTGGCTTGCTCTTAATTCTTTCTTTATAAAATATGCAATAAAATCATGTTTCTTTGTGTTAGAAATTTACCTATTGTGTAGTTCCTCATTCCCTCCTAAAAAAACCCACTTGCTTAGAATTATGGAGGACGACCCAGTTAGCGGCACATGTCGCTATATATGCTATATGCCATTCGCGATTCCTCTGCTCCATAAGCCGCTCAAATGGCCCAATGAAATATGCATATTTGATACGAGATGACAGCGGCATACATAGAGGAGAGGAGGAAAATAAGGAGAAGGAGGTGGCCCTCACGAGGGGATGCAAAAGATAAGGGGACTCACCCGCCACCCCCAAAAAGGAAATGGGAATGCTCTGGCACAGATTTAATATATTTTAGTGCTCTGTCTCCACCCCACCGCCAATTACTCATATAAATTATAAAGAAATGAATTAGGAACAAGCCCGACCGCCCCTTCGGGCTTCCATGTTCATAAATAAAAGTTCTGCTGTAATAATTGTAATTGGTCAACGGGAAAACTTTAACTATGCGATTTTCCACCACTCATACCATTCATTCCCATCGATTTTGGGTCACTTCTTTAACCTAGCAACTCAATTTTCTGGGTGTACTAGTTGTGATTGTGATTCACGCTGGATGCACATTAATTGTACGAAATAAGGACATACACATACACACATAATATCCTTGGCTACGAATTGTATGAAATTTCCATTTCTTGGGCTCTCTTTGCTCATTTGCTGCTGCTACAAGTGAATTCAATGGAAGCCCAGTTTTTCCCCCGATTGCTTTTCTTCCGTTTTGCCATGGATGCGCGAATTGTGAGAAGGGGGCGGGAAAATTGTGAGAGGTGACCTACATATGAATAAGTATGAGTGCACTGAGGGAAAAAATTATGAAGGAAATGGAAATATGTTTAAAATGTAGTAGGGGTTTTTTAAAATAATGCGAAATATATATGTAGCTATATAATAAAATCCTGGCAGGCTTTGCTTTTCAAACCCTTGCAAGTTATAATTAGCAATAAATAATGATTCAAAGAATGCAATTAATTTAAGCCAAGTTAGAATGGATTTTCGATATGATCCTATAATTCAATAGAAAACTTCAAGGTTATATAAAATTTGGTGGCTCAAAGTTATTTTCCTTTGTTTCTTTTCAGCTAAAACAAGTTTGAAAATATAATGTTCTTTTTTTATAGAATTCAAATATGAAATCGTTTGTTTTCTTATCTAATATTTTTCTCTGAGTGCATACCAAACGGATGATTGGGCACACATAATGCAGCTCCTTGGAAACTGAAACCAGTGGCACTATATATACATATATATAGACCCGATCCGACCCCGCCTCGCACCCCACAAAAGATCGGCATGTGGCCACTGTCGCCGGGTCTCGCATATATCTCCCTCGATTTAATAGGCCCAATTAGTTAGATGAATTGTGAATGTTCTGAATGCGACGGCGTACTTTTGGCATTTTTTTCCATCTCTGGCCGAGATTTAAGTTTATGAATATTCAATGAAGTGTGTGCCATAAATTATGAATGCCATTTGTTTGCATTTTGCCTTGATTTTATGGCCTTGAGGCTAAGCGAAGCAAGTGGGCCTAAAACACACCCTCTTTTGGTGGTTATTAAATTTTGTGGACATGATTAATTTAGGAAAGCAAAAAAATTATATTAAATTTGTAAATTTAACTTTTTTAAGAAATTATTTGCCTAGGTAATTGTATATATTTCAAGTAAATATCTCTATGATATCCGCTTGAATTTTCCTTGGACCATTATCTGAATAAATTCACTTTTTCTGACTCTTTCCACCTTCCAGGAGAGGGTTATCCTTTTGGCCAAGCAAATAAACCCAGCAAATTATCCAATTCCAAATACTTTCTCATTACTCAGCCACCCACGATAAAATATATATACAGATATAGATACATCCTGTTTCTGGGCGGAAGTTGGTTGGATAATTCCACAATCTGGCCATTAGCATAATCAGAACGTTTGCCAAGTGGCAGCTAGCAGGAAAAGGAAAATGTTTGAACATGCATGGAGAAGGGGGAAAATCCAGAGACGCCGCCGCACTTAAACATTTAAATAAAAATGATAACTTTATGCGAAGGGGGTAAAATTAGAGGACTGAAAATGTCATTACAGGACTCGGTCTCTCTTGCTCAGACGCAACAGTAGCCAGCAGCCTTCTCATCCAATGACGCCAAGTAAAAGTTTTTACCAAAAAAAATAAAGGATAAAGAAAAATAGTCAAGTAAATCCAGAAAAGTATTAGAAAGTCTGCGGTGGCTTGGGGTTTGGTGGCAGCTCCTGTCTGCGAACAGGTTTCAGGTCGTCAGGCGGGCGTCTGTCTTGTCCCTTCCTATTACCTCGTTCCACTTGGAGTTCTCCTGGGTTATCCTGGTTACTCTTGTCTCCCATTTTGGCCGCCCACTCACATGTCCTGACGTCCTGATGTCCTGGCAACGGTGATAAATGGCGCCAATGTGCCGCCTGAAGTCGCGACGCGTCGCAATCGCTTTTTTTTGGGTGCCTTTCAAAGGGGATGTGCGGGATGTCTACACTGTAAAAATTAAGCATTAGCTAATCTTAGTTATAAATTTAATACTATTTTTTAAATTTGTTTAAAGTTAATCAAGGTTTAAACATACTAAATAATGAGTAAACTAAAGAGAAGGATACGGGTTAAATATGGAACAATATACTTAATGTGTATTTCCATTTTAAAAATATTTACTTGAAGTAATTATGCTTTTAATGACAAAGAATTTTATTCAATATTATTTTGATTTTATAAAAATATATCCAATAATATTTTTATGTTTGAAAAAATCATAAAGAGCATACTGGAGCAATTTAAATGGATCTTTAGGTGGTTTGAGTTAGTCTTTTAATAGTTTTTCCAATAGCGAAAACTACGCTAGTTTGATGAATTATTATTTTCCCACGCTTTTTAAATATTTAAATATATTATAGTTATAGCATATATTTAATTCACATTATTTTCTCAATGTGTACTAAATTTTAGGTGGGTAAAATCTGCGGCAAGTTGCCTTTTTCAGTTAGTTTAGTTTGTAATGCTCCATTTAGTTTTGAGCTCATCCCAGAGATTTCCATTTTTCTTTTTTTATACCCAAAACCCATTCTGGGGGAAAAAAGAAGATCCATCTGATGACAAATCCACACTAAACGTGTTTGATTCTATTTGTTTCTTTTGGGTTTTTTTTTCGCTGAACCCGGTGACATGTAATTGTCCTCTTTTTTCCCGCACCTAGACAGGATTGGATGCGATGGCAAAGGATGGGTCCTGGGCTGTGTGTAGTCGATGTCGATTTGCTGTCATTACGCTGCTTACACGCGGTTATTTATGACAATTGTTGGAAAATATGAATTGACAGGAACGACGACGACGAGGACGACTACAACGATGCCGGCGACAGGCGATGAGGTCTAGTGAAGACATCTTCCAATTAGGGAGCAGGGAATACGGAATACGTATCTCTACGTATCTGTTCCAAGGAAATAAAAACGTCGACAGACAATTGAATGGCACAAGACTCTTGCGAAAAGGAAAGCGCAGCCAGCAGCAGTTTTCCTTCGACACCAAAGCGATTGCTTGAGAATTGTTACTTCAGCGCAATGAGCTCCTTTTTAGAGAGACAAAAAATATATAAAGATAAATCGAGGGATTTGCAAATTTTGCAATTTGTTTACTTTTATTATTTTATCAGTTTTGTAAAAGTTCTTTTACAGGCAGAGGAATTTGGGAAAAGATGAGCTTCTGAAGAGCATCCTTTTGAAAATAACTTAGATTAATAGTATGATTTCTTTATATATTAAAATATTTTAATAAACACAACAGTTTAAAAGCTTAAATTACAATAAATGTTGATCGATATTTTTTATAGAAAACTCTAAAATTTTCATTACCAAATATGTATTCTTCAAAAGAGATCAAATTGCTGTTTCAGCTCTTATAAATTAATCAAAGTTAACTTAAATATTTTGTATATATATTTCTTGTAATAAATCTTTACAAATCTCTCTATATTTGTTCCATCTTCCAGAACTCCATTCGTCACAATCTGTCGCTGCACAATCGCTTTATGAGAGTGCAGAATGAGGGCACTGGGAAATCCTCCTGGTGGATGCTCAATCCAGAGGCCAAACCTGGAAAATCGGTTCGTCGTCGTGCCGCCTCCATGGAGACATCGCGGTATGAGAAGCGACGTGGACGGGCCAAGAAGCGAGTGGAGGCACTGCGTCAAGCTGGTGTTGTTGGCTTAAACGATGCCACGCCCTCGCCAAGTAGCAGTGTATCCGAGGGATTGGATCACTTCCCAGAGAGTCCTCTGCACAGGTAACTACCAACTGCGAGTAGAAGTCTTAGATTAGAGTAGATACCTTATTGCTTAGCTTTGACAGTTGATTTATTAATTCGATTTTAGAATATAAAACATACTCTATATAATATTTTGTAGATTTTTAGTATAGAAAAAGCGTGACACTTTAAAATTTATTTGTTAAAATGGGTTAGGAACTTTTATAATTCTTTACTGCATCAATTTTAAAGGTGTTACTAGATATTCAGCAAACTTGTTAAAGAATCTTATATATTCAAATTATATGAAACTAAAATAATCACCGATTATAACATAACCTCTGATTAAAAGCTTGACCTTTAGCGATTTATTGTAACAAATTTATACCATTTTCTACTACAAAAACATTATGTTCTTGCTGTCAATTAATTTGAATTGATAAACAATTATGTAAAAACATTCCTAAGATTTAATTACTATTATCTATAGTAGTTCATGGTGTCTAACCTGTTGAGTCTTTAAATAAAGCAATAAAGGTTGGAATTTAGAATAGTGTCACGATTTTTTCAAACCAGTCGTGAGTTGTCTATTATAAAAGGCACATCGTTTATTTGAAGTAACAAGTTTTTAAAATATTTCTTAGGAATTTGGTTGCTTTTAAATTTAAAAGTAGTAATTATAATTTTATTGATTAGCTTAAATCCTCAATCTCTATTTAGTAATATATATAGAGATATTTAAACCTTAAATAAATATTTAAATATGAAGCATGCCATTAAGTTTCTTACATAACAAGTTTCTCTTTGAAATAATATACCTAAAATCAATGCTTTTAAGTAAAATTAGAAAGTTAAAGTAGCACTTCTAGAGCTTGGCTTAATTTATTAAACATTTACTTAACTAACAATCAATACGTAGAGTCAACTTTTTTGATCAATTGGCAAGTCTTGTAGCGTCTCTTTGAGGCATTGTCCCGTCCTAAGTATTATGTCTAAGTTCTCCCTACAGTTAATTATTATATTTTTAATTATTTTATTCGATTTATTATTTATTTATTTCTATTTTCTTTTTTCTCTTTAATTTTCCTTTTAATTGCAACGATAAAGTGGGAGCGGCTTCCAGTTATCACCCGATTTCCGGCAGCGCGCCTCCTCCAATGCCAGTTCCTGCGGACGCCTGAGTCCGATCCGTGCCCAGGATCTCGAGCCCGATTGGGGCTTCCCAGTTGATTACCAGAACACAACGATGACCCAGGCCCATGCCCAGGCGCTGGAGGAGCTAACCGGGTCCATAGCGGACGAGCTGACGCTGTGCACCCAACAGCAGCAGCAGCAACAGCAAGGGTCAGTTCTCTCGATGGCTGTTTGATTTCATTAATTGTTTTCCCTTTTCGGTTATTCCCTTTTTGTGTAAATATGTGTTAACCAAAAACCAAAATTATTTATTTTGATATATACATATATAATTTAATGCATGCTGGAAAAATCAAAAAAACAATACTTAGTCAGAGCTTTGCATGCTGCCAATTGACCTGGTATTATATTTTAAAATCAGATCTATAAAGTCAACTCTCTTCTCGTTCTTGCCACCCAACGATCGTACGGCTGGAGTAGGTTCAGTGCCGCCTCCGGTTTGCCCACGCAGCCACCCCCGCCGCCCTATCAGCCGCCGCAGCATCAGCAGCAGGCGCAACAGCAACAGCAGCAGCAGCAACAGTCGCAGTACGCCCTCAATGGCCCCGCCCTCAATGCCAGTGGCTATAATACGTTGCAGCCACAATCGCAGTGCCTGTTGCATCGCTCCCTCAACTGCAGTTGTCTGCATAATGCAAGAGATGTGAGTTCAACAAAAGATATTGTAAGAAAAAGATATGTAACGCTATATAATTTTCTTGTTCTCCTTAGGGACTGTCACCGAACTCAGTGACCACCACAATGTCGCCCGCCTATCCAAACAGCGAGCCCTCCTCGGACTCCCTGAATACGTACAGTAATGTGGTGCTGGATGGACCCACGGATGCTGGATCGCTTCTTGTCCAGCAGCAGCAACAGCAGCAGCAGCAGCAGCTGGAAGGTAGTCTTAACCTCCTCTTTCTATCTCTTTATAAATCTTCCCTCTACTACAAATCTGTGTATCCCGCTTATCTTCTCTAATCCCTCTAACCGTCTGCGAAACTCCACCCATTTCGATGCGAAATGTTAGATAATAACTGCGCCTCTACTTTGATAGGACAATGCCTGGAGGTGCTCAATAATGAGGCGCAGCCGATAGACGAATTTAATCTGGAGAACTTTCCAGTGGGGAATCTGGAGTGCAATGTCGAGGAGGTTTGCTTATAGTCATATACAAAAATTCCTTGAAGGAGTTATTAATATGTTTATATTTATTCCTCTACAGCTGCTGCAGCAGGAGATGAGCTATGGTGGCCTGCTGGACATCAACATACCCTTGGCCACTGTGAACACCAACCTGGTTAGCAACAGTGTTGGCGGTGGTTCGACCATTAGCAACCTCAGCAACCTCAGCGGTCTCTGCAATCTGAGCAGCAATGCCGGCAGCAATCCCAGTCTGAATCAGTTGCAGGCACAGCTCCAACAGCAGCAGCAACAGCAGCAGCAACTGCAACAGCAGCAGCAACAGCAACAGCAACAGCAGCAGCAACTGCAACAGCAGCAACAACTGCTGCTAAATAACAACAATAATAATAGCAGCAGCAGCAGCAGCAGTCTGGAATTGGTGACACAAGCGGCCAGCACAAATCTAAACACACGGGTGCAGTACTCGCAGCCCAGTGTGGTCACCTCGCCACCGTCCTGGGTGCACTAGATCCGCTACCAGGATCCCAGGATCTCCAGGATGATCCATAGTCGTTAGGTAACCTGTGTGTGAGCGAGTGTGTGTTGTTTGTGTCGCCAATGGAACGCTTTAAAACGCTAATTCTAAGGACAATAGTGTAAAGTGAAAGCAAAAGGAAGCAAAGTCGCCGCAACAGCAGCTGCTGGATCAGTGAGCAGGATGGGAAGGCTGGAGCCGCAGCTGGATAGCCACTAAAAAGTTTACAAAGTGAGTAGGAAATGATATAGTTTCTTAAATTATTATTAAGAAATATCTGCATTGAAGGGGACTTAGACTTAGCTTCACCCCACTATGACTTCGGTCGGTTTCAATTTACATCAGAGCTCTAAAAGCCATTCAATGTGACAGCATAAATTATGTTAATAAACGTCATTTCATGGCGCGCATTTTATGAATATGTAAAATGTGAAAAACTGGCACAGACCAGGGGGAAGGAAGCACCCTACTCCTGAATTTTCTTTAAGGGATTTTCTTTTCTTTCCTCCTCGTGTTTCGTGTCCTGTTTATATACAAAATCGTCTTCACTTGACTTCATTTCAACCATGAATCTTTTATGGACATTTTTCCTTCTTCCGAATTTCCTTTTCCTGGCCGCGGAATTTGTACTTATTATGTGTTTCCTCTTTATTTCTTTTTTTGTCTGCTGCTACTTGAGGGCAATTACACGCGTTCAATTATCATAATACATTGTTAAGAGGAGTTTGTTTCGTGTCCTTGTTCCTTTTTTTTTTTCAATTTAAGCGCTTTTAAAGTGAGAGCTTGCCTCTCGCTTGGCGCTCACTCAAATTATGGCAAATTAAGTCAATTTACCTAAGCCATAAAATATGTAAGAGGCCACTTTGCTACCTGGACGAGAGCGAGAGGAATACCTCCTGGCCGGAGTGTCCTTCCAGCGGAACCAGCGCTAATTTGACTGGCCAAGCGAAGCGAAGCCAAGGGAAACAGCCCGAGGGCCATTTTCCTCCTCCGCGCAAATTCGTCAAGGCAACCTCCCCAAATTTCCCTCGATTTTCCCCCGGATAGCAGCTGAATGCTGAAAAATTAATTACGTCCTTAGGGTGACTTATGCATGCCACTGATATCTGACCCCTCGTCAGGTGGTCTCGATGGAGGTGGACACCGAAGTTACGAGGGGACTCCTTGGCTTAAATCAAGCGCGTTAAACGTTGCTAATATTGAAAAATTACACTGCCAATGGGTGAGAGATTGTCTAATGGCAGAGATTTTAGCAGGGTTTTTGATTGAAATATGTTTATTTTTTATGGGAAATTCACTTTGAGATAGAGTAGCATTTTTAATTAATTGTTTAAGAAGAAACTTTGATTGATTTTCATCTTAATTTCTTCAACATTTAGGTGTGTAATTGTTGATAAATTATTATTTTAGTAGTTCAAGCATTCTTCATTAATTTTATTTATATATTTGAAGCTATAAAGAATGATTAAATGGTGATTAAAGTAATATAGCTTACTCTTATGATTGTAGATTTATTAATTTCTTTAAAAACATTTTAAATTCCAAGAAACTTGTCCAAAATCATTTCACAAACTAGTTCAAATAAAAATATAACTTTTCCTTACAGTAAGATGTTCAATTAATTTATTATTTAATGTACCTAAGGACAACTCTAACAGCATCTAAATGAATTATATCTAAATGACCGACTACTTTGAGCTAAACTTTTCTAGCCTCTCAATTATACCCGGATTCAGAAATTTGTGGTTCCACTTAACATTCCTTCAACTAAACTGTCCTTTTTTCTACATTTTTTGTTTCGATTTCAATGTCACGACTGGCGACGACTGTCACCGCGCATTTTTGCTTTGTGCCAAACTTCAGCGAGAGAAGCCGAGGTGAGGTGTCAGGAAAAAAGGTCCTTTGGGGACCTCGAGTTGAGACTGGGGAAAACCTTTGTCCACACAAATTGAATTCCTCACTAAGTTGGTGCTGTAAGCCAACAATTAGAAAACAGCAAAGCGACCAGAAAAAAACCAAAAGAAAGTCTAGAAAGAAAAAGGACCAAGTTGCCAGGCAAAAGGACAAAGTTGTAACTTTGTCAAGTTTGGCGCCAATCGCCTGACGTGCTAATAAAATAAAATTTTGCCAGCAAAGAATTCGAAATGATTTCGAAATTTATGCCAAGTGCAAACTTTTGTGTTTGCCGGGATTTTTTTTAGTCCTTCGCTTCATTTGAGTGAATAATTTGAATTGCATCAGCAGTGGATTTCCATTTCCATTTTATCCACTTTCTTTTTTTTTTTTTTTGTTTCATAATTCATCCAACTGACAGCGACTAGAGGAATTCCTTTCTTATTATGCTAATGTCTTAAAGAGGGGGCCACTCTCTGTACATATTTAATAAAGAATTTCATAAGGATTTGTTTAACTTTAAGCGAGGGCTAGGGTGTCCTGGATAGGCTTATTAGCCAGGAGCGACACATGCCACTCAATAAGTTGCCGCAAAACGCAACATCTGCCCAGGAGGCACAAGTCACCAGAGTCCTTCAATAAAGCGCTGAAATGATGTAAAATAAGGACCGGGGGTAGGTGTGGAAATCACATCATCGTCCGCAGATTGACTGACTTGACACATAATAAAGTCACACTCAAATTATGGCTGCAGATGCTGTGCCACCAAAGGAGCAAGAATTTACCATTCTCTTGGTTCTTAATACACTGGAAAATGTAAAGGAAATTAACAAGAAATACATGAAAATAATATATATAATATCAAATTTTGAATTAAAAATAAAATAAAGGTTTAGATTAATGAGAATATCAGGTTTGTAGGGTTTGTTTTTGATGGAATTTATTATAAATACATGTTCTATCGATTATCTTCAAACTATAATTTCAAAGGGTTCTGTAACTTAATACATTTTTTTAAGAAAAGGCAAGTGGTTATGAACTTAAGACTTTTTTAATAACAAGGAAAAGGTCTTGAACATAATAAGCCTTTTCCTTTTTGTTTCTAAGCTTTCAATGATTCACTCTTTAATAATATAATTTTTTTTCTCAATTTCCCCATACTCAACCCAAAATGTCCCCCAGTGCATATTTAACAGGGGGTGCAGGTCGGTTGCCCTGGTGAAACCGCGCGTGAAACACAAAGGCATTTTCAGGCAATTTATTAGTTGACAAAATGAAGGCAAGAAAAAAAAAAAAAAAAAAAGAAACGTGCCCGGAAAATGGGGGGAAAAATGTGCGGCTTCGTTGCCGCGGCCTCTACATTTTTTCTTCCAATTTTTTTTTTGTCCTGGCAACCAGAGATTTGGAGGAGACCACCGCAAGTTTCGCTTAGGTGTTGAAACTTGTCCGCAACTCGCTGAATAATTCAGAGGTCCAAAAACTTTGCTGCCTCCCGGCTCACATTTGATTAAATTTTAATGCCAGTGCACATCATTAATAAATTCCCAGAGGTGGGGGCGGGGCGAAGTTTGAATAAATTGAATTAGCGACAGGATTTTATGTCCTGCGGGAGCTAATCCCCGCAGATTGTTTGACAAACTTTGGACAGGTTTGGCCGTCAACGGTGGGGGGGGGCTAAAGTGTCAGAACTAATTGTCCAGCAAAAAAGTGGTGGATAAAAAAGTGCGAGAAAGTGTAGGAAAAATGTAGTCCCCTGCATTGGCATTGGCATTCAAATGAAAATTTCATTATCCTGTGTGCCCGGTGGTGGCGTTAGCGGGAAATCAATTTGTCAGTGCGCTGGGGAAATGCGCGTTTTCATCGTACAAATTGTCAGCAATTTAATAACATTTAAGCTGCCAACGGCGGGAAGCAATGATAAGCGAGGCCACACACATACACACACACAGAGAAAGAGATTCAGAGTCCTGATCCAACAAGGACCTGTTCGTGGGTCCTTGTGGCAACAAACCGCATTTACACTCACTTAACTCGACACGATGCGGAGGTCGTAGCCTCCATGGATAGCTTTTCCCTTTTCCTGAGCAGGGAAAACAATTGCCGGCAGGAGCTAGTCTGGGTGAGGGGAAAAGCGGAAAAACGGCTTGTGTACGTACAAGCTGCTTAAGGTCCTTAAGGACCCCTCTCCCTCTCTTGCTCTCTCGAACGCACGTTCAAACAAATAAAGCTCTGCGAGCGGTTTAAACACTTGTTGCATGGACAAAGGATAATAATGACGTGACAGCCAGGAGTCCTTACTTATACAGGGACGACCATAAAACACACACATACTATATAAAATATGTTGAGTTTACACTGAAAACATCTTTGGGGTGTACTCGTATTTTTAGGGGAATTTTTTGTGGAGAAATTTAAAGGGTAAATCAGTCAGAATCTTGTAATGCTATGAAAGGAGTCAATTGTGACCCTATAAATCATATATATTCTTAATCAGCATAAACAGCAGAATCGATTTAGCATAATTCTGGCAGAAAAAGAATTTTACCAAATTAATTTAATTTTGCAAGGGGTCTCATCGTGAAAATTATCAAAATTGGGAAAAATATTTAATCTTTTGTTTGTTAACCAAATAAAAACTAGCAAAGGAACGGTTTCCGAATTAAAATTAATGCTTTTTTAACTTAGTTATGAAGCTTTAAAAATTTTATTTTTGAGAAAAAATTGTCATATAAAAATATTGATGAACATAATTTAAATAATTGAGAATATTTTGAGCTTAGTTCCTATAATTTGACTTCTCAAAGTTTATTTCCTTTCTTGTTTTAATTCACAAGTATCCAGGAATTTTTTTTTGTGTAAGTAATAAAGCAAACAGAAGGCTCGCTTTTATTTCACAAACCTGCAAGGTGGCAGAAAGGACCTGCCAGAAAGGGGCAAAGACTGGCAAAGACACCTGGTGGCTTCTTGTCTTGTCCTGCTCATTCTTCCGTGAAAACCTCTGCAAATATATGAATTATACCCGAGGCATCTAATCATGAGGGAGGTGGTGACATGTAGTTACAAACCAACAAAAATTTAATGCCCCTGCGGGTGTTGGCCATAAAGCGCTCATAAGTAGGCAATACATTTCGCACTTGGCACTCCTTCATCTTCATCTCCATCTCCTTGCAGCAGCTTTCATCTTTGATTCCGGGATGGGGGTTCCTTCAAAGTGCCGAGCATAAAATTCAATTGCAGGCCATAAAAACTGCGCGTGATCTACATACCCAATATAATTTAAAGCTGTAACTAATAAAATTGTGTCAGCGATAAGCTTTGATTTTTATGTTTTCTTTTTCGAGGGAATTTATTGAGCCAAGGGGAAGAAATCTTATTTTAAATGTTTAGCTTTGCCGTTGTCGTTTTTATGGCATAATTTTTTGGGCCGTTTGTAGTTTCTGTTTTATCGGAGGGGGAGGAATATACATATTTGCATAAATTGCCCAGAATGGAAGCCGAGGGAAAGTGTCATCCTCCTCTATCTCAGTCTCATCAGACACTGCTTATGAATATTTCGGAGCCTGCCAAGTGTCAAGTGCCATTACAGGCTCCTTTCCCCCCAAAAAAATATAGAGAAATCTGAATAAATTAGCTATTTAAGAGGGGGAAAATGGAGGCCTGTCGTGGTCATTGTAGGACATGCTGATTGTCCTTTTATGAAGTGTTGATTTGGGAATGATTGCTCCTCCATTGAAATTTAATTCTACTTTAAATAGCACAGCTACTATTTCTATTTTCACTAATAGTTTTTTGTATTTTCTTTGTCTCTTTTCAGGATAAATCTGGTCGCTTCTAATTTAACATACATACAATACATATACATAGATATATAAATACAAATATATATATAAATATATATATATAATATGCATTACAAATAGAAAACGAAGCATACAAATAATACCAATTAATCACCAATAATTAGATGCTACCATCATTAGTAAAATTCTCTGTTGTGGCAATGCTATAAAAAAAGGAAAAGGAAAACTTAAAAAAAAGCAACAAGCAAAATTGTCAGCTAGCGAGGGAAAACTTTGAATTGAAAAGAAAACACGGTTTAGTCATTAAGTTCAACTTTGTACATATTAATTTTAATAACCTTGACGTAATGCAACAACCAACAAATAATAATAATAATTATAACAATAATAATAACACTACCTTGGATAATGATAACAAAAAACACAAAAACAAACGTAAAACGTAAACTAAATGTTCGGACAACTAAATGGAAAACTATATTCATTCGTCAAGCTATCAAGGAAGGAAAATAAGAAATAATACAAGAGAAACAACAACAAACAAGAAATTAGCACAATTATGTAATAATTTATGCTTAATTAATGTATTTAATTGAAACAAAAAAATCTAATTGTAATTGTATATTTTTTCTATAAAAAAACAAGAGCAAACGAAACCCTTAAAGAAGAAAACTTGTGTAAAAATTATGCTTAAGATTCGCAATGGAATACGTAATAAATTCTCCGGTTAGTTAGCATCAGAACAGCTTACTGAAAATCCCCCCAAAACCCCCTTTTGTTACCCACAATTAATATGCCAATACATATGTAGATCGTACGCATTAAACAAACGAAATGAATAACCTAAAAACATTAAACCAATTGAATGTAATTCATTGAAATTTCAAATATTAGTAAATGTAAATGTTGCTAGGCAAAAATTAGGAATACGACAAAAATCACAGAATATCCGCAAAAAAACCCAAAAGCCACAACTAAAAACCAGAAATAACAAGCAAATACAACAACATGCGCATCATTGTGTACTATTATGGGCTAAATGTTAATTATTAACTAGATTGTACAATTCAAATGTAGTTCATACTATTTAAAATGCAAAAACGGAGTGAAGATGAATAAACTGATGATTCAATATAAGAAACAACACCAATATCTTGTCTTTAATTTATATGGTTCCAAAGGAAACTACAAATATAGTAAGTAAACAAGAATGAAAATTAACTTTGGGAAGACGAAGATTTTGTACCATTGTAGTTTTATTTAATTTAAGAATTGTATCAAAAATAGATTATACCTTAGCTTAAAATATTCGCATTCTTTGATTCAATATTTATCGATTTATTTATGTTTTAATTCTTTAGACAAAGCAATGTTTAAAAGTCGGAAAGCTTTTCTATGTAAGTTTTTATAAGATTTAAAAATCTGCATACTCTATGTAAAATTTTTAAAAATTCAATATTTTATACATTTTTAACAATTTTAAAATTTTCAAATTTAAAAAAAATGTAAACATTTTTATTTTAACCGGGCATTGCTAAATTGATTCAGATGTTGATGCTGATCAAGAATCTATATATTATTTAGAGGGTCGGAAATGACTCCTTCACTACTTTAAAAGCTTCCGAGTAAAATTATAATACCCTGTAAGTGTAAAAAGGAAAAAAAAGTATTTCCGCCAGGGGATTTGAACTCTCAAGCGTTTGCAGATATAATTTTACATAACTAGTCTTCACTTAGGCAGCTAAGCCACAACGATCGAAGCGTCCTCGCTGGCGAGTAGCTCAGTTAAATCGTGTCTTGCAAAACTGGTTCTAGCAAGATCAGCTCTGCAGAGGAACACTATAATTCCCAAGTCATTATTCCACAGAAAGCAGCTTAAATACAGGTTCTTGATTCTTCCAGACCCCACAAATTGATTACGTCATCAAGTCGTTCTTCAACTCAATTTCACAACTGCCACATACAAACACAAAGCTTACTCGTTGTTGCAAAAACAACTAATAAATATTAATTGTTGAATGAAATATAAGAAAAAAGTCTTTAATTGACGTATATCAAAGTTTTCAACCTTAAGCCTTCACCATGAAGGTCTCTTCAAGGAGAAGGAAATGTAAAGTTTCCAAGATATATAATCGATTATTCAATCGATCGCAAAAGCACAATTATCATTGTGAGCCAATGGATGTTGAAATGGGTGAGGAGGAGATTGATCGTTCTCCTCCAATCGATCCCTGCGAGCCAATGGATATGGAGTACTCTGACACACACGTTACTCAGATTGAATCGATACCACCCCCACCATGCCAAATATCTGTATCTCTATGTGTTACCATAGTGCACTTCTGCCAAGTACAGTAACTTAGATGCAGAGTTATAAATTCAAATTTATTTTGTCAGAATAAATTTGATGTCGCTCCTATTATCTTGGTCGGCACTGTATGTTTCGTAAGGAAAACTTGTATAAGCTTTGGTTCACGTCTGTGCTTTTTGTCGCGGTCGGCAAGGCAGCTTCCAACTGAAAGCAGTTTGTAAACTTTGAATGAAAGCAGTGCAATGCACTGAAATCAAAATATTACATTAAAACACTCTTTAATTATTCCAAATATTATTCCTACATAAAAAGATAAACCAAACAATAATTTTTCATACTAAATAGTTAACATCATTCTCTTAACTTAAACTTGTATTAATTGATTTATTTTTATTATATAAGAACAGTCTTAAAATTAAAAGCTTTCCGAATTAAAATTAATGTATTTTTGGCTTAATTAGGAGCGTTTAAAATTCAGCCTCCTATTCCGATTGCAAACTGCAAGAGTATACAAACTTCGGCATTCCGAAGCTCGCTTTCTTTATTATTATTATTTTTTATATTTAATCACACGTAATTCATGTTAACTATGATGAACTACGTCATGATATCCACGTCATGCCACGGCCTGCCTTTGTACAGTGTCGTTGTTATTTCCGATTTAATAAACAAATAAACGCACTTCCCCAACACTTCTTCCTCTTCCCGTAAGCTTCCACTTCCCACTTCCACCTCATTCAGAATTCAAAAGCTAAATAAACACAAATTTTCTAAATACGAATAGTGATTTAGTTAGGAGCTGTTTAAAGTTGTTTTAAGTGTTCAGCAGCAGCTGATTGCTGATTGAACGTTGACCGCCCCAAACACTAGACACACACACACACACTCCACAAAAGGCCGGAAACTTTCAATTCAGCAAAGAGTTAGTTTTGAGCAAGAAAGACACTCAAATAAACCGGCCAGTCGCGACTTGTGAGTTTTTAAAGCTGACCAGTTGCCAGGCATTTGTATTTTCAACCTATTTGGGAACGGCTTTCCGTTTCAGTCTCAGTTTCGTTTTCGTTTTCTGTCAGTTGCATTTCAAGCTTCGAGCTCAGCAGTTGCAGTCGTATTTATTTAAAACAAAACAAAAATCGTTGTAAAATAGCAACAAACAATTAACGTTGTCATACTAAGTTGTAAGTGCGTTGGATTTGTAATTTTTAGACATCAGGAGAGGTTGTATTAATAATAATTCTACAGACATTTATTTGTTCTATAAGGTTTTGTAAAGTTCAGTGAAGTAAATACTTTCTTTCATTGATTGTATCATTATTTCTGCTTACAATTTGTTTCGTCAATATAGAATTCTATCTCATCAATCAAAAATGATTTTTGTGTCGTCATAATTTCGTAAATCACTCTTATCTTGTATAGTTCTGCTTATTTATTTTTTTGTGATATAAAAAACCCATCTAACCAATCGATCAACAAACGTTTTCTGTGTCGTCACGATTCGATTTCAGTTTCAGTTTTTATATACAAGTATTCTCGGTTTCGTTTGGATTGGTTGAGGGAATCTCAGCTTTCTAAATGCTAATAGAGGAACTCGCAGCTTTACAAAAGTGGGCGCGACATTTACTTCCTGGATTTAACCTGAACAAAAGGGGAACGGAATTCGTTGTTAATTCTTAAACAGTTTTACTAAATTAAGGCGGTGTCTTGCATAACAAGTGCCGATGACGATGACGATCGGACTGGCAGGGCCTCCCCGTGCTCTTTCTATATAAATATCGTCGTGCAAGCCCATTCTCAGACAGTAATCAAAGCTTAATGTCGAATGTTTTGTTTATATATTAGCATTTTTTTAAAGCACACAACATTTATTATTTGCCTACTTGTTTATGGCCACAAGACATTGTAGATATTGTTTGAGATTGCACCTTTGTTGGCTCTCAAACTAAGGTCAGAGAGTATACCCTTCACAAGCTGTGTCTCAAATTTATTTTCTTCAAAAAAAAAAAAAGTAATAGAAACTGATGAGAATTTGTTGTGGTAAAAGGGTATTAGTTTGATTGATTGAGGCATTTCCCTTTTGCTAGGTATAGGTTTCACTTTTCTTTTAAGAAAAACCTCAGCGTAAATTGAAATAGTAATGGATATGGCCTGTGGCAATTGTCTTCGAGTGTCTTGAGGCAATTCAAAGGCTTGGCAGGCGGTGAAAATGGGCGGCATTTAATCCAAGCTTGTGAGTCAGTTGAGCCACTCGATCGGTCAGTGGCTCACATATATCTTATATATCTTGAATATATATATAGCGAACACGCGATTCGAGAGCCGCTCAGTTGCCGCTCGTCGTTCGTAGCTTCAAGTACTTCCCAGCTCGGGCTCTGTCTCAGTCTCCGCGTGAAAATCTAGACGAAAACACAACTCAAATTGATCAACAATTGCTTGGAAATTGGTAAATTAAGCAGTTTAATAAGATCATAAAGATGATAATACCTAAATAGGGGGAGTAAATAGAACTCTTAAAGTTAGACAGTGGTTATTTTTTAGGTCATCTGTCAGTTAGTCAGTCAGTCGCCTTATAATTACAGACTTCAAGTCTCGCATTGTTGTGATCTATAGTGCTGCAATTTTAAGTCAAGGTCGATCTTTCGCTTTTAACCCGCTTCAGACTGGTCCAAGACCGGTTTTATTTTCTTGCTGTCTGGTTAAGTTTTGTTATCAAAGCAGGCAAAAGCTAAAGCTCGGGACCCCGTCTGGCCCCCGGGGCCCAAATTAGTTGACCAGCAATTAGCGGCGTCTCGTTAAATTAGCCTCACTTCTCTTGCAATTAGCCAGATCGTCATCAAACCAAACACGCCATGAAGCTCAACGCGAGTCTAATTCTCATCTGCGCCGCTTTGCTGGGATGCTCAACGGCCACGGATGTCAGGCCATGTCCGAAATGTAAGTGTGAATAGTTAAAAAACTTTAAATGATATGATCTAGTACTAAATAAAGCTATCATGAACATGTGCAGAGCATCTAAAGCCAATAAAACCCTGCAAAAGAATCAATTAAATAATTCAAAAAAAGACTAATTGAATTCTATGTAATTTGTTAATTTTACCTGTATAATATGAATAATATTCATTAAATATTTAATTGATTTTCTAAATTCACTTTGTTCAACAGCTTAATATACCATTTTTTTGTAAACCTAAATTATTATCATCATATCAAGTATTACTTTTTATTATAAGCTTAACTTACCCTGTCAACACTGCGTATGAGTAATATGTTAAACAAAAATATAGTCACTGTAACTAAAGTCCAACGAAATATATTTACACAACTGACTTTTATAATGCTTTGTAATTTGAATTTAGAAATGATTATTATAATGACACTAAGTTCTTGATGGACATGTAAATAATTTGTAAAGTCACCAGACAACAGGGCGGATGAGTAATTACACTTTATGTTAAAGTTGTAATTATATGAAACCTTCTATTTTGATAATTAAAATAATATTTTAATGTTACTTAGACATTAAAAATTGTCTGATACCTTATGCATTTAAGTGGAATTTAATTTTAATAAGGAATTTTAATTCTAAAACTTGTTTAAGATGATCAACAATAACACAGGTTGGGTGTTATTTCTTTTGAATCAATTTATGCAATGTAGAACTTAACATTCATACTTTGATTGAATTCTTGAATTGTAAATAATATTTTAACAAAAGCAAGAACACATTTCGATTATAATTTGTTGATATTTTAAATTTCTACGTAATTTAAGTTCTAAGGAAATTCTATACTAATTCGTTTCTATCGATTCCTAGCTAAATCAAAGGCTCTGAGTGCCAGTGAGGTATCCATCTCGAATTGTCCGAAGAACAAATGCATCCTTAAGCGCAATACCGAGGCCAGCATTGAGATGAAACTCCGGCCGGAGCGTGACTTCCAGGAGCTGACCTCTGACATCCAGGGCATCATCCTGGACGTGCCACTACCCTTCCCCGGCTACTATGGCACCAGTGCCTGTCCGCACATCTACGACGAGGCGGGCGAGAAGAAGGTGGGCTGCCCCCTAAAGGCCGGCCAGGTGTATACCTACAAGAATAGCTTCAAAATCCTGCCCGTCTACCCCACCGTCAGCCTGGAAATTCACTGGGGACTCGGGGACAAGCAGGGCGATGCTGCCTGCTTCCAGATTCCCGCGAAGATCAAGGCTTAAAACACCGAAGGACAAGAAGTGCACTCAATGTAGCTTTTATTAGTGGTAAATCTTAGAAGCTTAAGTAATAGGGATTAAGTACGGTTAAGTTAGGGCTCCCAAATGACAAGAGCACGCGTGCGCGATCTGGTGGCCAATATTGCGGCATCCAGCCAGTGACGCAATATGGCCAGAGGACTCCACCAGAACCCGCTCGGAAGAGGTCTAATAAAAAATGTCCACAACGAACTCTACGAAACGCCTTCATGTACATACACTGCTCTACTTTCTGCCGTGTGCTTGCTTTAATTGGGTTTTTTGAATTGAATTTTTTGTTTAATTGATGCTCGGCATGCAATGATCTCGTGTGTGATCTTGTGATAAATATCTTTTCAATTTAGCGCTGGCATTCTATGGAGTTCACTTTTTGAGCTCATAAACCGGTTGCTCCTCGTTCTCAGCGGGCTCTAAAGTTAGATCCTGATTCTGCAAAGCCTGTTGCAACTTTCGCCAGCTCTCGGCGGCGGCATCGTATCCCCTTTGAGAGCCTCGGCCACGACCCAACAGCTGCTCCTGTTGCTGCTGCTGCAACTGCCTTAGTTGGTAGCGATGCTGCCGGAGCAACTGGGTCCACTTAAGACCATTGCCATTGCCAATCCGGTTGCGTTCCTCCTCAGCCCGACGAGCCTGGAGAACAGTAGCTGGAGGAGCTGCTGCCAGGGGTCCACTGTTGGTGTTATCTTCATCATTGTCCTCTGGGTTCTGATTGTTCCGGTTGTTGGTATACAGCTGCTCAGCCAGGGCATCAAGGGCATAGGTATTGGGTCCAGGTCGCTGGGAAAATAAAAGGTTAAACTTAGGTTGAAATATATACAAGAATTAATCTTTGTTCAGTTAAGGTATTTTAAGGTTATTCATGTTCTAAATTTAGGATAAGGTGTGAGGGCTTACCTGCTTAGCATCCTCCACCGCCTTGCCTCCGGATCTCTTGCCATGTGCTGTAAAAAAATATAAAGTACAAGCACACATGTGAGTATTAAAGATGATAAACTTGTCCTATTAGAGCCTAACTGCCGGACACTTACCTCCCCAACATGAATGTCCGTATTCCAGGCAGGAACCTGCAAGTAGGCAACACATTTTTTCCAATTTAAAATAAATCTTCATCAGGTGGCAGTGTAAATTTCTCCTACAAATGAGCCCCGTGGTTTCAAGCCCTCCCTGGGGGGTGTCTAGGTCAAAAGGCTTTAAAGTTTTTCCCTTTTTAAGTCAGTTGCTTTCTTCCTAGGTTTCCTGTAAACCTGTGGATGCTACTTTGGCTGCTACTCTGTCTGATGCCACACAAAACCTGATGTTTATTGTGTACTCGGGCTGCTGATGTCGCAAGCCATGATAAATGCGGCCATTATGGAACTCATACGCCAAGTCAGAGTGGGTTGAGTAATGCACTCGGCAGTGGAAGGTGCAGGAAGTAGAAGGAATCAAGCTACTCAGCAGCTTCCCCGTGCGTGCATTATACTGAGCGAATAAGGTGTTACCTAATTTTGTATCCTTCCCTACAAGGAAGAAGTTACAACAGCCATGTTTTCAACAGTGCAGTGGCAGGACCAACCTGTGGCTGTGCATAACACACACTTACAGCTTATACAACGTCCTTGATGCCACTCCATGCATTGTGTGCCAAAAAAAAGAGAAGGAACATAACAGAACAGAAAAGGTGAAAGAAGGTGGCGGCCCAGAACTAATCACACAAATGGACGGCAACGCATCATCAGGACGAGGACATCGGGACCTCAGCTGGGACAGGACGCCTGGATACGGATGCGAAATGTCAGTCCGAGGGCAGATCTGCGACAAAGAGCAGGAGTTATGGCAAGTGAATAGCAACAAGTTCCATGACGCAGATGGCCCCTAAACTGGGCGGAGGAAGAGTGGGTGGCGTTTGCATAAGCTTAGATAAATATAAATAACTATCTTTTATATATCCAGGCCAGACGATGGACTCACTTCAGTGTCGGCTGTTGCTACCCCGCTGGTCATATATCAAACCCCGTAATCATTTGTCAATTACTTAAACCATGGATTAATTGTTGCCGGGCAGCCGGGCAATGACTGTGGCCCATACATGTTGACAGGCATGGCCATCAGAGATAGCGTTTTTCCCCCCATTTTCCGAAGGACCGTCATTAAGCAAAGTCCCTGCTTAACGGCCTTCCATTGAATCCTTCGACAGCGATGCCTAATTAAGTTGACCATTGCAATTTAATGGCCACATCCTTGATCTTGGCCAACGTTGGACTCGCTGGCCACTTCGGAGTAATGGGAATAATGCGAATAATGCCTTTTTTTAATGGTTACACCTCTTTATTGTGCGACGCAATTTGTCTGGAAACCCCATTAAATGGGCCATTCTACCTGTGACGGGTCAGTATCTGAGTATCTCAGTATCTGACTGCTGCTATCTCTGACTTTTGTTTGGGTTTTTGTTTCGATGGTTGCCGTTTCGGTTTCCGTTTCGGGGGATTCCCCCACTCAGGACAGACAATTGCCAAAATTATCATTAAATGTGTCATTCGGTGTTTGGGTTATTGTTTAGTGCGCCACTTAACGCAATAATTATTAATTTAATAGCGAAGTGTCGTTGGACATTAAGTCGTCTCAGAGAAAAAGGTTATATAACAACCTTATAAAGTTTATTCTGAGTCTAAATAATTACTCAGAATATACGTTATTAAAATTAGAATAACATAAGTCCTACAAATAGTAGCTGTTTTTTTAAAAGTTATTCTTATTATTTAATTAAAAAATCCAACTTAAGGAAGTTTAAGTTTATAAATCCTTTTAGTTTGCAATTGAATGATAGGTTCAAATCTAAAATCGATCATAACTAAGGTTAAAATATTCGAATGCTTTGAATCAATAATTATCGATATTTTTATATGACAAATTATTGACAAAATTTAAGTTTAAAAACCTCATAACTTTGTCAAAGAATCATTAATATTAATTTGAAAAGCTTTCCCATGTTAGCTTTTATTGGGTTAATAATTTTGCATACTCAATTTAAAATTTAAAAATATTAAATTTTTTGACAACGTTTAGCAATTTTAACGATGTAACCCCTTTTTTTTTTTGAAAAAATTGAAAATTATTTATCTGCCGGTTTGCCTGTTGATGCTGATCAAGAATATATATGTTTTAAAGGGTCGGAAATGACTCCTTCACATAATTACAAGCTTCTGACTGTAATTACCCTGGAGAGGTATAATATGCTAAAAATTCACATTTTTAGAAATTTTTATCAATCAACTGTCGGATAATTTTAAAGGTAAATTTACGAAAATAAATCATTAAAATTGATTCATACTAAATTAATAAATGTACCTTATGTAAGGCGCATATCTTCATCTATATATGAATTATATAAATCTATATAAGTTTTATACAAATAACCCTTCTTTTAAGGGTCTTCTTTATATTCTTCTTAATTTTTGTAAGGTAAAAAACTATTATTTCCCTTAACAGATCTCCTAAATTTATATTCTGTATAATTTATGTCGTACAAATTATATTTTCCATGCTCAGATTTTCTAAAATTTATGTTCTATATAAATAATATCAGCTCCGATTACCGAACCTGAACCTAACCCAATCTACGCAATTTGTGGAATTTTTCCTATCCAAATGTCGGCTCTTTTTGTCCATTTTGGTTTATCTCTTTTTGCCGCATCCCATAAAAAAACCCCAACTAAATGGAAATGGTATTCAAAGGGGAAGGGTGCTAACTTGGCCAAGAATGACGGCCATGCCACCCACAATTGCAATGCTTGCAGGCGGCACAGCTTGACATTTTCACACGTTCGGCTCGAGGTTTATTTCCACGTTCTCGCTGACGTTCTTTTCGTGTCTCCGTGGGTTTCTCTATGGGCCATGTCACGGGTTCTACGCTTTACATTGAATACACAGTGAAAAATCACAGGTCATATATTAAAATATCAAAAGAAATGGTATTAGTCATATTAAGTCAAGTTTTTAAATGCTCAAAATCTGATTAGCAGAATAGTTTACTTAATAACATAAAGTGCTTTTAGTTGTTGCTTTGGAAATCAATTCCAGGATAACATTTTTATTATCAAGATTAAAATATATATGCTACTTTTTCTTACCGTGTCCCTGTTATTTGGCACGCAGTTGGGATTAATTTACGACGGCAATTGAAAGCTTCGAAAGCGGTTGTGCCGGAGGGGTTTGTTGATGGTCCGAAGGGCGATCTATCCCTACCCCAAGCCCCATCCCCAATCCCCAATCAATTTCCACCTGTTAGCCTGCATTCCCAGGTGAGTAAGGTGAAAATACGTAGAAAAAAACCCAGAAAAGGGAAGCCGCCAAAACCAGCGAGCAAACAAAGGCGTATCAGCAGGAAAATGTGCATAAAACTCAGGCTGATAAGGCGGATTAGAGCCGCCAAAAGGAAAGGGGGGTTAATGGTGGTAAATGGGAGCTGGAGTTTTCCCGGTTAAACCATGATATTGCTAATATGTGTTAATCAGTTGGTAGTTTGGTATTTTTATGATCCAGGTCCAGATAGGACACCACCAGTTAATTTTTGGAAATGTGACTCAGCTTAATATTCAATTTCATCACTAGACCGAAAGCCCCGAAAGTATACCTCGAAAGCTGATAAAAAAAAAAAACAATTAGGTACGATAAACTAATTCATATTATTTGTTTAAGTAATTAAATACTTTAATGAAACATTGGGAAATTATTGTTCGCAGCAACTGAAAAATGTTTCGATTAACTCCTTATATTTCTTGACGATATTTAAATAATCAAAATGGTATTGAATAGAAAATGTTTTGTTTTGGTAGGGTTTAATTTTTAACCTCAAGGTATAATTATTACTTACATATAATGAAAAGGGAGTTGACCGTTATATAATAAAGTATTTAATTATTTTTGTAAGGATTTTATTCACACACAGATGAATTATGTATTTATTTAGTGATGTTTAATTGGCTACTAATTAAATTAATGCTTTGAGTTTGCATTTTAGAACTGTTTTACCCAAATAATGTAAAGGAAGTAAAAGCTCTTTATAAGGGAATATAAATTTTAAATTGGAAGTTTTTACTGATTCTCTACGTGAACCCATTTTATTTAAATTTATTAAGTTATATTATTTATTAAAATTTTAAGAAAAACTAAGTTTCGATATTATCCGTCAAATAAATTAAAATTATCTTTATGTTATATAAAGATTGCCATGGCCTACTAAAGATGCCAAAAAGTCAGGTCAGTATATGGTTTAATTAATATATTTTATGAATTTTTTACCAGTGGTGCTTAAAACTAAAAAGGACAGAAACTAACTCTCAACCAGAGCCAGAATAATATTCATACTAATATTATTATTAATCGTATTAAGTGAAATTTGATGTTAATTATTTCTTACCTGTCACCAAGGCAAAGAGCGCCACCAACACCAACAAAGTCCAACTGCACTTGAGATACCGCATTTTGTAATGGATTTTCGCTTTTTTTAATAGCACTCTCTTCTGCACTCAAATTGTTTGATGTCAATTATAATTTATTCCAGCAGCAAGCACTTTTGGCAACTTTTAGTAAAACTTTTCACACTGCAAAACTGAACACTGAACTTAGAGCCAGGGAACTGGAGCCTAGAGAGCTGAGAGCTGAGGTGAGCTGCCACTTGTTGATCGGAGTCAGGTGCTCTTCGCTGCGAATTGCCAGCAAACTGTGGTCGGTCAGCGGCTTTTATAGCATGCTCCTGGCACAGGCACTTTACGTCCACAGAATGCAGATAACGGGACGACCCATACGAGCGGAAGTACCCGAACGAGGAGCCTCCAAGCCGAAGAAACACGAGCGCAGCCGAAGCGCAACCAATGAACCAATGAGCGGTGAGTTGGAGGCGCCCACGCAACAGGCTGCCATCGGTAAGGGCTAAGGGGGTCAACGGGGGGCTAAAGTTAATAGGGGGAACGAGGGGGCGGCATGGGAGGGTGTACTTTATGACAGGGGCGGCATTAAGGGGATACATTTAGGCACGAGTTTTTAAAATAACTAGCTACTACAAGGACTATTATTTTGATGTATTATAATTCCACTTAATGAATTTAATAAACATTTAAGTACAAAACGCTTTGAATTCGTATTTATTACTAAATAAATATTAAATATTAAGCACTAATTATTATTAGTAATAATGGCAATGACAATGAAGACATTTAAATTTGTTCATTTTGGTTAATTTGGATTTTTAATATTAAAAGATTTCTATAAATTAATTAATAGAAAGTTTAGGCTAAATACACCCCCCTTAACCCCACCTCTGTGCCACAAGAAAAGGCGAAGCTATAAAGTAAATGCAGTTGTCGGGCCCCCACGCAAGCAACGCAAGTTCATTTTGTGGCCAACGAAGGACTTAACTTTTAATTACCGTTGAAAAAAGTTGTGTTGTTCCTCTTAAACGTTTTGGCATTTGTTAAAGTAAAAATATTTACCTGTCTTTTTGTATCAATGACAATTTTAAATTTTATTATGAGATTTTAATTAAGAACAAGAAAGATTTAAATTCGATCTCTAGGAGTAAATACAATATTAATTATATATATATATTTATGTTAAAAAACAATAAAGCAATACCTGCTTTTATGTTTAGATTTACAGTTTTACATAAACCGTTTTGCGTTTTCGTCTATTCAATTCGTATGGCAGTTATGGATATTTATAGTCCGATTTTCAAAGCATTTTAGACAACATTACAGATTAATATATAATGGTTATACATATATGAAATTTAATGAAAATCTATTATTGAAAACTGGAAAAGTTATAATTTTTCTTAAAATTTTACGATCGTTCATATGACAGCTATATATATATATATATATATGTAGTCCACCGATTCGATACTTAGTGTTAAGAGTTACTTACTGCTCGAAGTAACTTATTGATTATAGTTAAATTAAATAGCTCGCTGATTCTCTCTGCCTCTCCCCCTCTATCGCATTATGTTGATCTCTAGAGACAACTCCTCTCCCGCGCACTCACACTCACTTTCTCTGCTCTTCTCTGCTCTGCTCGGGACTATAAATAGAGGCGCTGAGGTCGCGCGCGCCTCAGTCTGTCCTAGGGGTACCTAGTGTTAACATCAATAGTGATAGTGCATGTGATCAGCCTTCGACCTCAAAATATGACGTGGCCAATGCAAAACATCTGGATGACCAGGAAGAAACTCTCTTGGATTCTTGGTCACAACACTGGAAGGAAGTAAGCAATGACGTGTCCTTTACTGCGGTAAGTCTTAACCATGACATGATCAGGCCTAGGTCTAGACTTTATATTCCAATTTATTTCTTTATTGCCATGGTCCCCTTTAGATACTTAGATACTTACTCATACTTTGAGATAATTACTGATATAGTTACTTACTGGTAGATACTTACTGATCAGAGTTACTTAATGTTCATTGATATTTACTGATCAGAGTAACACAAAATTCTAGATTAATATATAATAGCTAATTACCAAATTTGATGAAAATCTGTTGAAAACTGGAAAACTTATTTATTACAGAGTTACTTAATATTCTTTGATACTTACTGATCAGAGTTACTTACTGCTTATTGTTTATAGTTAAATTAAATATCAGCTCGCTGCTCCTCGCTGCCTCTCCCCCTCTCACTCTATGTTAATCGCTCTATGTTAATCGCTCTATGTTAATCTCTAGAGGCAACTGCGTCTCTCCCACGCACTCACACTCACTTTATCTGCTCTTCTCTGCTCTTCTCTGCTCTTCTCTGCTCTGCTCTGCTCTGATCGGGGACTATAAATAGAGGCGCTGAGGTCGCGCGCGCCTCAGTCTGTCCTAGGGGTACCTAGTGTTAACATCAATAGTGAATGTGCAAGTGATCAGCCTTCGACCTCAAAAATATGACGCGGCCAATGAAACACATCTGGATGACTAGGAAGAAGCTTACTTTGAATGAAGTCACCCAATATTGGTCACTACACTGAAAGGAAGTAAACAATGACGTGTCCTTTACTGCGGTAAGTCTTGATCATGACTTTTATTTTATGTATGAAGAAGCTATTGGTGGTATCAGACCTAGGTCTAGACTATATATTCCAATTTATTTCCTTACTTCCATACTGCTTTGGTCCCCTTTACATACTTAGAAACTTTCTAATATTTTTAGATACCTTAGATACTTACTTATTATAGTTACTTACTGGTCATAGATATTTACTGTTCAAAGTTACTTAATGTTCATTGATATTTACTGATCAGTGTTACCTACTGGTCATAGTTACTTATTGTTTATAGTTAATTTAAATATCAGCTCGCTGCTCCTCTCTGCCTCTCCCCGTCTCACTCTATGTTAATCTCTAGAGGCAACTGCTTCTCTCCCACGCACTCACTCTCACTTTCTCTGCTCTTCTCCGCTCTGCTCGGGGACTATAAATAGAGGCGCTGAGGTCGCGCGTGCCTCAGTCTGTCCTAGGGGTACCTAGTGTTAACATCAATAGTGAATGTGCAAGTGATCAGCCTTCGACCTCAATAATATGACGTGGCCAATGAAACACATCTGGATGACTAGGAAGAAGCTTACTTTGAATGAAGTCACCCAATATTGGTCACTACACTGAAAGGAAGTAAACAATGACGTGTCCTTTACTGCGGTAAGTCTTGATCATGACTTTTATTTTATGTATGAAGAAGCTATTGGTGGTATCAGACCTAGGTCTAGACTATATATTCCAATTTATTTCCTTACTTCCTTACTGCTTTGGTCCCCTTTACATACTTAGAAACTTTCTTATATTTTTAGATCATAGATACTTACTGTTCAGAGTTTCTTAATGTTACAAAAGTTACAAGTCATTGTTTATTAGTATTCAAAGTTAATTACTTATCATACATACTTACTGTTCATAGGTGCTTACTGTTCAGAGTTACTTACTGCTTATAGATACTTACTGTTCAGAGTTACTTATTGCTCATAGTTACTTAGTGCTCATAGTTAATTACTGTTAATATTTATTTATTGATCATAGTTAATTATTCATCATAGTTATTTAATGTTCATTGAAACTTGCTAATCATAGTAACTTAATATTCATTGATTCTTACCGAAAGAAAACAAAATTTAATTTTAATTCTCATTCTTTTATTATTGGCTGTCCTTACAATAAATCTTAATTCTGTGTGATAGACTGTCGCGTGGCTGTAGCGTAAATCATGTGTTGGCCTCTGCAGGTGCATTTACAATTCATTATTGTGTACGTGTGCATGTGCATTTATTGTATGTGTATGCATGCGTAGCTTGGTAGTGTCGTTAATTAGCTACCAAAAAAACATTTCATTTGTTACGTAAGTATAATCATTTAGTTTCGAACGCAATTGGAGCAAATATAGAAGTCTGCTGCGGCTCCAGGATGCAGCAAGACCAACTTGGTAATGTTGACCATCGTGTGTGCGGGTGAGTACGTATGTGTGTGTGTGTGTGTGTGTGTGTGGGTGGGTGGGTGGGTGTGTGGGGGACGTGCTGCCTTAAGTGTGATCTTAAGAGTGTCCTGTGTACTAGCATGGATCCTTACTCCAGCTTAGCCAGGATATCACCCTCGCGGAACAGCAAATACTCGCTCTTGTCGTCCATGTCCACCTTGGTGCCACCGTACTTGGGCAGCAGGACACGGTCGCCCTCCTTCACGCCCACAGCCAGGTGGCCAGCACCGGCTGGATTGCGAGCTCCTGGGCCGACGGCCACCACAACGCCCTGCATCTCCTTGGGCACAGACTCCTCTGGCAGCAAGATGCCGCCGGCTGTGGTGGTCTTGACCTCGAAGCGCTTGATCAGGATGCGGTCCAGCATCGGAATCACCTTCTTAATCACGTTCGACATCGTCTTGCTTAGTTCTTGGTAGTGCCAAAGTTTGTCGCCGAACGGAGAACTTAAGAAAAAAAACTTTGAAGATTGAGAGTTAAGAATGAATTTGGATTATTTTTCTCACAAAAACTAGTTCACTTTTACCTTGGCCAAATTTTTTTTTTCAGGTTTTTAAAGAATTTTTTTTGGGTTTTTTATGAGGCAGTCGATGCTTTCCCTTCGTATATTAGATGTAGACTGAATTCGTTAGGGACTGGTCAGAACTAATACGACTGACGGCCAAAACTCAAGGCTATATTGATAAATATTGTTTTTTTAAAGGCTTACTTGGATCGAAATAAATCAGTTAGAAGCTTAAAACGCAGTGAAGGAATCATTTCCGGCCCTACAAATCATACATATTCTTAATCAGCATCCAAAGCAGAGTCGATCTAGGCATGTTCGGATAGAAAATAAATTTTTGAATTGAAAATAAGAGGTTACATTTTCTAAATGTTTAAATTGAGTCTGCAGATTTATTAACCTAATAAAAAAACATAGGAATGGTTTCCGAAATAAAATTGATGCATTTTTGACCAAGTTATGATCGATTTTCACTGCAATAAATTTCAAGAAGCTTCCTTTCATCTTATTAAATAAATTTGGATACATTTGTAATAGACACAAACACAATAAGAACTAGTATTTAAATCGTTAATTATTTAATATTAAGTAATGTTCAAAAATATCAATATAATTTTGTACTCCAGCTTATAAACGTGCATGTGACGGCAGCACTGCGTATACGTAATTGTATTTTGTTTTATTTTGTCGCTCAGCCAAGTTTGCTCGTCTTGATTTAAGTTCAACACGTGACTCACGAGACGTGAGCAGCGAATTAGGTAAACCAAGCACACAAAATAGAGCGAAAACCGCAATACAAAAGCAAAGAAAAAAACAAAAGCCAGACACCAGTAAACAATTCAGAGCAAAGCAGACGCAATAAACAAGGTCCACTCTAGCGACGTTGTTGATTTATTCTGCAGGCGCCACCTGTTGGCAGCTTGACTTACTCAACCGTAGTGGGGGGTGGTGGTGCCGTCCTTGTCTCCCTGCCTCTTAAAGCCTGCATGTCTATCTGTTTGTTTTGCGGCTTCCTTACTTGTGAGTACGAGAGTTATTCTATGTATGTGTGGCAGTGGGTGTTCCTCTGTGTGTGTGCGTGAGCGTTCGTGGGCTTGCTTTTGTGTTTGTCTAAACTTGTGGCATGTTAAATGCCGTTAGAATTTTGTTTGGCTTTACTTTTGCTTGAATACCTCGTTTTTTTGTGGGATATAGAAGGGTGGATAGGTGTTAGAGGAGATAAAAGCAATAATATTTGTATACTTTTTAATGATGTAGAGATATTTTAAACAAAATATAAGTCCAAGGCTCTACTCGGTACCTTTTAGGTTAGGCCTTTTCCATTTCCATTAGGGTGTAACTCAAACTAAGCACCTGAATTTTAAATTAAAATACTGTTAGCTAGCAGCAAGCATTTTTTTAAATTAAAACTAAATGAGATATTTTTAAATCTAATTAGAAAATATAAATTTCCTTATTTATTTCTAGATTTATTATGTATTCAAAGGCACCTCAACTGGCCCTAAAAGTTATACTCTACTTTAGATGCGGCCATACCGGAAGTGAGCCATAGGAATATATTGCATACTTTCTAGAGCCTCCGAAGGTGATTTAAGCAATACAATTTTGTTTACTTTATTAAACTTTATAATGTAATGATAGCAACCCGGTACTCTGACATTCGAGCTGCCCAAAGGCTTACCTTTTTTCTACTTGGCTTTTTTCGCAGAGCCTTGCCTCGCTGATGTGCTCGTAAATCACAAACTTCATAATTTCTACGTCATTTTGCGGGCGTTCGAATGCGTGGCTTTAGCTTGTTGGCTCTGAGTGAATTCTTTTTTTTTTGTTTTGTATTTGGCCCGCAGCTCTATACGTGACGTTGGCAGAACAAATCGCTTTTGTTTTTAGCCATCATCTGACTTTTGCCTGTTTGCTCCTTTATGGCCCGCTGCGCTTTGGACTTTCGACTTTGACGCATTTGCGCCGTATTAATTCTGGATCCAACCGTGCAATTTCACTGAACTTTCCACCATTTTTTCGTCTTCGTTTTCTGCGGGGGAACTCCTTTTGGTCTTTTGGTTCGGTGGCCTCCGCTTCCATTTGGCTGATTGCATTTTCATAACAATTTGCAGGATTACTAATGCGCCACGTTGGTCCTGCATTTGCATGACCTTGGCAGCCAGAGAGCCAGCCGCCCGCCCAGCTCATTAGAATTTCATTTGTAGTCAGCGAGCGGCAGACGACGGGAATCGATAAACCCCAAAATGAATTTTATGGCCAAATTGGAATTTCGAGAATCCTTAGGAAGGATATGGAAACTGTGGAACGTAAGCGGGGAATACGCGAAATATGCTAAGCTTTATTTTTTTGGAATAATTTGCAACACATCAAAGTAATCCTTGAAGGCATCCTTAGGACATATACACAATATACACATAAATATCTGGTAAGTAAGCGAACTTGGTCCGTCATTAGAATTGAGTAGGTTACTGAATCAAGTTGTTTATAAACGCTTAAGCTTAGGATTTATCTTTTATCATTACTTTGCTTACATTTTCCTACTGTTACAGTTATTTATTATGACAGAATAGTAAGGTAAGCATTTTTATAATCTTTTTGGTCAAAAGAATTACTTATTTCAACTTTTTTCTGGATTAAAACTACTATATCAACTGCTTGCATTGTATTTTCAATTTAAAATTTTATAATAGACACTTTGTAGCAATGCTCGAATATTTTTCTGAGAATAATTAAATGGTTCGTTGTTTGTTTTTAATAAAGATTTATATACCTAAAAGGTGGGCGTTTCACTAAGTGATTAATTTATATTGTATCATTTGGAAAATTTACAAAAAGCTATTATAACCTCCTCTGGCTTCTTACATATTAAAGAGTACGTCCCCAGCGATTAACTAACGGAGACTTTGCAGCCGACACTATTCTTACACTAAATAATTCTGAATACTTGAAAGACTAGTTCGGGCATACATACATATATGTACATATATTCGACCGATTCAGGTTCGATTTCCGATGCTGCATGAATGAAAACTTAATATTTAAGAGACACAGAGAGAGAGAGAGAGAGAGAGAGAGGAGAGAGGCTTGCGATTAACCTCTAATTGCCCGGCAGGTGAACGCGACAACAGCTTATACTAAACACTTTGGTAAGAATCCGGCCTGGAATTAGCATCAGGAAGTTTTGTTGTTCGTTCAGTTGTTCTGGGTATTGATCATCGCATACTGTGAGGCAATCTGCGGCTTGACCAGCGACAGGCGATCATTCAGTGAGTTCTGGAGGGGATCATAGATGGCATTTATTATGGGATCTCGCCTGGCATAAGAGGATGCCTTGCCTGCACTAGAGTTTGCTTTGGCTGCTGTTCCGCTGAGTCAATGGAAACGCGTTGCGTCTGACTGGAATTGGTGAGAGCTCTGCGCAGGCGCCGTGACTCGATGTTGTTCCGGGAATTGAGTGATCCCTTGGAGACCTTCTTGCCAAAAAGCACAGCCTGGAAAGGGATAAGAGTGAGTATGTATCTTAATGAAGTTCAAAACAGAAATTCCTACGATTAATAACTTAAATCCTTTCTACCCACCTTGAAGGCCTCTCGGAACTTGTTACTCATCAAGTTGTATAACAGCGGATTGATGCAGGTGGACAGGTAATAGAGTACTCCGGAGATGTAGGTCATTACCGTGTAGACAAACTCATGCTGGTCCCTTAGGTCTGCCCCACGTGCTGGGGCATAGATGGCAATCAGTCGCTGGGCATGAAAGGGGGCCCAGCAAAGGAAGAAGCATACCACCACGGCAACTGCACAAAATGGGGGGATGACGATGTATTTGGGTTCAAATTCGGGTTCGTACAGACGCAGCGAGAGCACAGAGATAAAGAGTCAACGATTATATTTTTCGGTAATCGCAATTGTCATCATAAATGGCAAATGCCGAAATGACAAACGCAATAAATTGGACGCAGACGGGTTGATTAGTGTGCTTAGAGGCATATGGCCAAACAGTTAGAGTACACTTCAATACAAAGTTGGGGTAATTGAAATTAATTAAACAAGGAGAGAATTATACAAAATTGTTTTTAGGATAAGATAGGACCGGTTTTCCACAGGGATATTCTGGTGTTTAGTCTTCCTTAGATTATGTACTGATTGCTTTATATATTCTTGACTTGTTTGTTATACAAGGGAATGTCTTGGGCCAATTTCTCTCTGTGTTCTTGCCAAAATTACCAAAGCTTAGCTATATAATTACCGAGCATCCTGAGCACCCGCCGGGTACCATAGTGATTGAGTCGACCCCTCACCGAGCTGAGCTGTGCCCCCGAACCGCCCACCGCTGCTGCTCCAGATCCGGATCCATTGAGATTCATGGCATTACTGGATCCCGCATATCGATACAGGATCGTGTCACTTGGAACACTCTTCAGCTGCTGGCGGCGGGAAACCGAGGCGGGAGCCTCAATCCTACTGGAGCGATACAGGTGCAGGCCAATCAGCAGATACAGCACCAGGATAATAGACATTGGGGCCAGGAAAAAGATAAATGTGGACAACTGGAACGAATGCTTCACTATGATCCGAACAATGCCACACTTGACCACACCATCATCGGCAAAGATTCCAAACTGAGCGGCCTGCGGAATGGCTGTAATCACGGCCAGCAACCAAACCAGGACAATAATCCTGGTGGCCCGACTGAGTTTACTCATGGCCTGGCCCAAAAATGGATGACAAATGGCTATGTACCGCTCCACGGTGAAGGCGGTTATGGTTAAAACTGTGGCATTGGCCGCCGTCTCGGCCAACAAACCCCTGCCAATGCAGACATATTCGCCAAAGACGTATGGGTATTTGGACCAGATGAAGGCCACCTCCTGGGGCACACCAGAGAGCAGAAGCAGGAAGTCGGAGATGGCCAGGGAGAAGAGATAGTAGTTGGTGGCGGTGTGCATAGAACGGTTCTTCTTAATCACAATACAGGTACTGATGTTGCCCACCACACCGCTGACAAAGATCAGGGAGTAAACTACGGTCACAGGTACCACGATTCCAAGGGGATCTCTTGTTGGTCCTAGGGTCTGGCTGACATTGCCCGGTGGCTCGGAGATGGACATATCGGCGTCGGTGATTTATTTGGAATTTTTCCCCCTTTGTTTTCACAAAATTTCCACTAACAGCGCTAAATTCCAGTGTCGCTTAACTCGGCTGCTGTGCTGTGTGTCCCCTCAACTATGCTAATTATAATAATTTATTGGAGCCAACCGGGGCGCAGAGGAGGAGAGATTTCTCGACTCTTGAGTCTCGATTCGATTCCTCGGTTCTCGATTCGCGATTCTCGACTCCGGACACCGAATTCCCCGACTGGCACGCAAACGCACCAAATTACCCGGCACCGCCGATTCCGGGGGGCGCGACTCACTGCCTCAATCCAAATCGATGCTATATCGAAGCTATATCCCGCGGGTATCGAGCAATGAGCAACTGCAACCGCACTCCAGCGCGCTCCGAACTTATCTGATAAGCCGCGGCGACAGTTCATTCAGATTTGTATCTGAAATGAAAGCCAGCGACGAAGCGTCGCGTTTTCCCCTCACATGAGAGTGTGTGTGCTGTTTAGAAGGTACGCGACATGGCTGTAATGCGGCGAACGTGCAAAGGTAATTATCCATCTTGATGGGAAGTGGAGACAGCCCGAGTTTTGGATACAACGCAGATGTTGAAACTACTTAACTTTAATTAGCAAAACAAGGTTTAATTATGTTATTTTCTTAAACAAATTTTTAACTGCAAGCTGAAACTAGTTTTATTTAAAGTGGTGACACGTGATAGAATTTTAAGAGAAGCTTTAACAAAAATATTTGAGCAAAGACAACATTACGTATGCGTGATATGCTCATGAGGAGCCTCATTATAGCAATATAATTAAATTCAAATAAGTAAAAGCAAAGTAATTAGCATTCTCAGTAGGCATTATTGAAGGCAGTTATTATAAATTTATTATATTATTAATTTATGGAATTTAAAGAACAAATATGATATAAAATGAGAGAAGTATAGTTCTAAATTTATGGTTTTATATTTTCGTCACTTATTGAAGGTATTTATTATAAAATATTTATAGAACGAATACATAAAAAATATTGAATCAAGTACCCAATTATGATGTATTCCTTCTTCCATCTTATACATTTATGTCACTTAAAATATTCCAAGGACCATTAAGTTTTTTGCCAGGTTCTGTTACAAAACTTATTTACATTTACTGTTGAAACCCACGCGCACCTTCCTGCCGTCTTATTTACGCTTTCGTGTGTGTATTTTGGCAACAATATCTCATAGTGGCTATGGAGCAGCACAGTTTGCCTCGGGACATTAGCCACTGGGTGCCAACAAAAACAACAGGCAAGAGCTACTAACTTGGCCGAATGCGTTTCGCGAGTGCCTCTGTTTGCGGTTCGACGGTTCGCCGGTTCTCGGTACTCAGTTCTCGGGTCTCAGATATCGGGTCCGGGTCTCGGGTCTCCATACTCAAGACACTGGCTAGTTGTCGCATGTCCCACGCTGTCGACGAGTGACATTCTCCTATGGCCACATAATATTCATATTTTCATTCATTTGTTTCGTTCCGTTTAGCACTATGCTAAGTGACAAGGATAGGGGGACCCTATCTGGTTATCGGCCATAATCCCAACGCACACGCCCCTTGAGATGGATGTCAAAGGGCGTGCGGTCCCTGAGGAGTTTGTTACGGTTACTAAAGCTTTTCCCGAAGCTTTTTTCGGGCGGCAAAAATCCGAGGAAAAGCCCATCAATCAACGCCACGGTGTGATGGATGAAAGCTCAAGGGCTGTGCAGCGCCAAGGAAATGAAAAGCGGGTAGGTCACTAGAGTTAAAAGATTAAATCATTAAGTACAAACTAAATACAGCCATTAATTTTCATTTTAAGCTGGATTAAATCAGAACGCAATTATCTTATTTAAACCTTTAAATATATATTGTGTGTTTATTTAGGTTTCTTCAAAAGAAGCTGAATATCTTTTTAGCACATTTATATATCTTATAATTACTTTCCCTTTTCAGGAAATTGCAATATTGTTTTTTATGTTTCGATTAGCTTATAACACATTCAACACTTAATAAATGTTTCTTAAATTTTTGAATATTAAAATAAAGTTCTTCAAAAGAATATATATACATATATATTCCAAAGGTTCTAATCCGGAAGATCCTTCCTAACGCACCGATATTAAATCATTTCACATTTAAAAACTTTTCTCAAAAATGCTCCTAACTCTAAGGATTAAAATTTATATATCAGATTATGGCTTTTTTATATTATTTGAACATTGACTTAAGCTACCAGCCTCTTTCTTTTTGCAAAACTCGAAACCACCATTTTCTTGCAATCACTTCGTCGTTTTTCTAGTTCCTACTAAAAGTTAGACACTCTGATTTATGTATTGACTTGGAAAACACTCAAAGAAATATATGTAATCTATATTCTTTATGAAGTTCGTTGGTCAGCCCCGTATTACATTTATTCGTTAGGTGTTTAAAATCAACTGAAAAGGTGTAACAAAGTAGGCTTACAAAGCCTAATTTTTGACACCCTTTTGATAGATCTTAATACCCATTAATTTCTGTCTGAAATGGTGCTTTGGGGGTCTGATTTCTGTGGTCCTTAAAATTGTAAGTCTACAGTTTAAGCTCATTTTGTTGGCTTCTTGGTATTAATGGATTATTTAAAGCTACAATCAGAAGTCTTAGTCAAAGTTTTTATATGCTTAGTAGATCGAGTATAAAATAGCCTCAGAGTTGTGCTCTTTGAATCATAATGTAGATGGATTTCGGGTGGGATGTACACTATACTTGTACTTGTACTGTGATATTTGGCTTCTGTTATCATATCTCAGAGTATCGATCGAAGGGCAAAGTTTAAAACGTAAATCTAAGCTTTCACCTCAAGAGTTTTTTCTCACAGTTTACTGGGTTATGGATTAGTTAATTATCAGAAAATGGGATATACCCGAAAATACAATGGACTTAGCTAAGCTGCCTCGTATTGCACAGATTGGACGCCTAAACCACAATGTCGATAATCTCGGACTCGTCGTCGTCGTCCTCGAACAGGTCGCTGTTGTCCCAACTCCCCCAGTTATTTTGGCGGAGCCTGGTCCCAGTCCGTCAGTGAATGTACCTCTCCTGCTATAGGAGCACTTGCTTCATTTGTGGTCTCTGCCGCTCCAGAATCTTCTCAGCCTGCTCCGAGTCCAAGCCATCGATGGAGCAGGCAATCAGTTCCACCAGGTTGTGACCATGACGCAGAATGTGATGGATTGACTGCAGCGTCAGCTTAGAGCAGTTGCTCAAGTTAAGGATCCTTAGACGCTTCAGATTCACCACAATATTCCGCACCGTGTCATCATCCACAGCCATGCAGCTGGACACGCAGAGAGCCTCCAAGGATGGACAATTGTGGGTAATGGCCTCGAATCCCGCTGGCTGGAATCGTGAACAGTAGCCCAAGGAGAGAGCACGTAGTTCGGGAAGCTTCAAAGCATGCTTCAAGGATCGATCTGTGAGATTGCGACATCCACGAAGGTTCAACTCCCGCAAGCCCTTTAACCGACTGATTGGATAAGGAGTAGCACCAAAGCCCATCAGTCCCTGATCCGTGATCTTCACGCAGTAATCAATGTTGAGGTTCCTTAGTCGCGTTTGATATCTGCCACAGAGTAATCAATGATTAAGATTCATATAATATTAATGGATAAGGTAGTAATCCTTACCTGCAAATGGCTGACATGGTAAGATCCGTCACCGCCTGCCTGCAATTATCCAAGCTGAGACGCTGCAGATTGGGCAATCGCTCCAGCAACTCGCACATGGAGTTCTCGTCAATGAAACACACCTCCTCCAGATGCAGCTCCTGCAAAGCATAGTTCATTTGCTGTGCCAGACCCTGGACCAACCCCACACCTGTCAGCTCCCGACAGTAGGCCATGGTCAGGACCTGCAGCTGTCCACTCAACTGACGCAGGGCATCGATACAACTGGAGTTGAGCTGGACGCAGAACATAAGATCCAACACTTTTAGGGTATGCTGCCACTTGCCGGCTATATAGAGGAGCAGTTCATTGGTCAGGGACAGCATTCCGGTGAGGTCAAGCTGACGCAGTGGGGCTGCTTCCGGCACAGCCCTGATTACGGCGTCGAGGAGCATCAAATGACAGTTTCCGGAGAGCTTGAGAGTTCGTAGATTCTCCATGGCCTCAAAGGCCTGGCACCACTCTCGCGTCTCAATCCCCGGCGAGCAGCTGAAGAAGATGTCCACGGATTGTAGAGTGTCCGCATGATCTCGAAGGACATCCAGCAGAGCTTGCTCATTGTTCCTGCGGTACTCGAACTGCAGACTTCGTAGGTGCACCTTATTCTCCGTCCGACGCAGCTGGAGGAGCATCAGCAGCTTCAGTGACGAGTCGAGGCTCACTCCATCGCACTCGAGACCCACCAAATGGCTAAATTGCTTCATATTCAGACCATCCATGGCTCGCATTTGCTGATCATCCATGGAACTGGTGGTGGCAATTGTCAGCACCTTCAGGTTCGGCATCTTGCCATCCAAATTCCGGAACACAGGTGCATGCCGTATCTGAAGATGCCTCACCTCGGCACCCACCAGCTTGAGGAAGTTCTCCAGTTGCCGGCATTGGTGCAAGTTCCTCAGCTCAATCCTCTCGAAGCTCAGGTAGGAGTTACCGTTCTTGACGTGCTTGTGAATCGCCTCCAGGTTGTGCTGAGTTACAATCACCTTGCCCTTCTCCATGAAGCGTCGACGGCTGACCAGTTCCCGGCAACGCCAAGAAACCATGCGCAACTGCTGGAGATCATTGTAGGAGAGATACGACATAATCTCCAGCCACATCTCGTTGGGCAACAGCTCGATGGGTGCCCGCTGGGATTCCTTATCCGCATCCAGCTTTTCAGGTGTCAGAGGAGGCGGCATCGTTGGAGTCGTAGCCAAGGAGCGGGCCAATGCTAGCAAAGGATTCATCTGCAAGTCTAGTTTGTTGTGATGCTGCGGAAAAGAAAATGTGAAATTATTATGAGTCTGAAGAAGCTTGAGTACCGGTACCCAAGCATAACCATGGTGCCGCTTTTCACCTGCGGTCCAGATCCCACCCCTCAACAGTTCGATGACCCTCTGACCACCTGTTCCCCTCCCCCGGCAGGTGTAAGCTTCGTTGCCAAGGTTACCCCAAATGCAGTTTTCCACCACTACTGTGCAATGCATTTTCCCTTGAATTTTCCCGGGACAACTCACCTGAGCGTAGCTGCAGCTCAGCCTCTCAAAGAATCGCCTCTCCCGGCGCTGACTCGGTTTTCCACTCGTTATCAGATTGTTACCCATGCAGCAACTCAATTAAAAAATGGTATTTAATGAGAAGTCGGAAAATGTATACCCGTTGTCTGCCGTTTCTGGGTTATGATTTTCTTGGAATTATTTAGTTTTATGTTGTTTTCTTAACAAGTTAATTTTAGCACTTTTTGGGGTTACTTGCTTATCCTTTTATTTCAGTTAATAATTGAGAGCTCGATTTGTGCTTTAAATTATTTTTATAGAGGATTTCTTTGTTTGTTTAGTAAAAACATATCTTCTATATATTTTCGTATGCTTTTGTGCCTTTTTACTTTGATTTTCTCACTCTGTAAGTTAACTTATCTATTCTTTTCTGTATTCAAGTTTATAAAAGATTTAAAGGGATCAAATTTTGTTATTATTTGAATAGTTAACACAACATGACAGCTTGCTATCTATAATTGTTTTCCAAACATTGAAAATCAAATATTTGCTCCGTGTTTTTGTTTATATTTTCCTTTAATTTGTGATTGAGTATTCCTTTGTTTTTTGTTTGTTTCCGCCAAATACTTTAGCTTATTGTCGGAGTATTTTAAGTTAATTCCTTGGTGTTTTTCCGGATTAATTTTCCAGGGTTTTCCTCTCCAATTTGACAGCAACCTGCTGCCTGCCGCTGGTCGGTGTTACAAAATCCAAAATATAAATGTGAATTTTCCCGACAAACGAACGAAAACAAACCACTCGCAGGGAGCACAGCTGTGTATCTGTATCTAATGACCAAAATTGTTTGGCCGGGGTCACAGATACATTTACAGTGAAGCCACAGTAATAATGGATTTTAAGTGTTTATAAAAGAAGAATGATTTAATAAAGTAATAAGGGATAGGACCTAAAGTAGTATTTATTAATTATACATTTAATAGTCAGTAAATTTAATGCATTCTCAGCTAATTATTTATTATTTCTATTTTAAAATAATTTAGAAATATCTTTTATTCATTTAACTGAGTGTGTACTGTACCGTTACTTCTGCGTAGATAATTTCGTTGAACACGCATGCTCTCTCTCAGGCACACACACACACCGTTACACCTTCCCCTAAAGGGCCGCTCTCTTTACGTATCTCTCTCTCTCTCTCTTTTGGTTTCTTTCTCCCGTTTTGTTTATGTTTGCTGCTGCTTTTGACCCACTTACAAAAAAGCAGCAACAAAAACCCTACCATGGCGGCCTTGATTTCAAGAGAGTGTGTGTGTGTGTGTGTGCGTAAGAGCAAGAGAGCGTCAATTGAGAACCACTTAGATAATTATTTACATCTATGTTACATCAACTCACTCAGAATTGCGTGCAGTGTAGACAGCCCACGCACTTACGAAATTTAGAAAGGGTATTCCTTTAATTCAAGTACAGTCCTACTTAACACATTTCTTTATACTAACTGTACTTTGTAGTATTATTACTTAAAGTTTTTAATGTCCTGTTGCATTATTGCATTCCCAAGATATCAGGCTTAAAGACCCTGTAATTAAATCGACACTAGCACTGAGCAATTACGCTATGCACCCTAGGTATTTTAAATACAAGTCATATAATTAATAAAGCAATTAAAACCAATTGGTTTATTGCAAATCGAAGGATATTACAGTGAAGGTTTGTAATTTTTTATACGTTTGCAGGGTATTATAATTTTATTTATCCATTTCCGGCCCAATAAACCATATATATTCTTGATCCGCATTAACAGCCGAATCGATCTGGCTATCTGAGAGAGAAAAATACATTTTTCAAATTTTTTGAAATTTTATAAGGGGTTACATCGTTAAAATTTTCAAAAATTATTAAAAATCTTAAAATTTTAATATTTTAAATTGAGTATGCAGATTTATAAACCTAAGAAAAACTAACATCGGAAAGCATTCCGAAATGAAATTAATGAATTTTTGGCTTAGTTATGATGTTTTAAAACTTATATATTTTGTAAAATGAAGATATTTTTGGTAATTTTCATTGCTTTTGAAGGTCAAACAGAGATTAATTGCCAAGACTCTTATATATATTTCGATTCACCATTAAGATCCTAATTAAAGAAACACAGGACATTTAGAAAAATAATAAATAAATAAATAAAATTAAATAATTATTAAACAAATTATATTGGCTTAACTGGAAGGGCAGTGCTATTTTTTAACTTAATCCTATGTGAAAAAAACTGCAAAGAAAATTAAGGCCGCATATAGCGATCAGGTAACCAGCAATTATATATCCAAGCTGCCAAGGACTCGACAATTATATCCATAATTATACAGTTTCCCCGTATATATAAGAATCCTCCAACGAAGCAGAAACCACTTAAGAAGACCAAAGTAAGTAAGCCACAAGACGATGAAGACCACGGAAGTTATGAAACCCTATCGGATGGAAGACTTTCTGCGGACACAGTGGTTCCAGAAGCTATCGCAGATGGAGCACTTTAAATGGCAAAGGAACCCGGAGGACAATAGCCTGGTTAACGCCTCAATGAGAGGCTTCTGGCTATCGGCTTTCCTCAACGTCGTATTCTTCGGCAGCAATGTGGGGGATATCCTTCGCCATTTGTGGCTGGGCAGACCGGCGAATCAGAATCCTCCCGTATTTAGCATCACCATGTACTTCTCCATTCGCGGACTGATGCTCTTCCTGAAGCGGCGAGAAATCGTGGAATTTGTTAACGACTTGGATCGGGAGTGTCCTCGTGACTTGGTCAGTCAGCTGGATATGCAAATGGATCAGACTTATCACCACTTTTGGCAGCGCTATCGCTTCATCCAGATCTATGCCAATGTCGGTGGTCCAATCTTCTGTCTGATGCCCGTGGCCTTCTTCCTGCTGGGTCACGAGGGCAACGGAGTTCCGGTGGCCCAGCATGAGCAACTTCTGGCCGGCTGGCTGCCATGGGATCTGCGCAAGGATCCTAGATTTTATTTTCTCGTCTGGTTCATCGATGTGGCCTGCACCACTTGCGGTGTCTCCTTCTTCGTGACCTTTGATAATCTATTTAATGTGATGCAGGGACAACTGCTTATGCATCTCAATTACCTTGCCCGGCAGTTTGCAGACCTCGATCCAAGTCAGAGTTTGAACAATGAGGGGGCTTTCTTCTCGGTTCTGAGGAGGTTGGTGCAGAGGCAACAGCTCCTCAATGGACTGTGTAATAAGTGAGCTAGCTGTCTTAAGTGCCTCAATAAAATGTTTAATCCATTCTTATGCAGATATAATGAGATCTTCAAGGTGGCCTTCCTGGTGAGTAACTTTGTGGGGGCCGGATCCCTCTGCTTTTATCTCTTCATGCTGTCGGAAACATCGGATGTGCTGATCATCGCCCAGTATATCATACCCACCATGGTCCTGGTGGGCTTCACCTTTGAGATCTGCCTGCGCGGTGCACAGCTGGAGGAGGCAGTGAGTCTTAATTGCATCCTTAATTATATATATATTAATTGAGCCTTTACAGTCGGAGAGGCTGGAGCTGGCCTTAAGTAGCCAGAATTGGTATTTGGGCAGCCAGAGGTACCGGAAGTTCTTCCTACTCTGGATGCAGTATGCTCAGCGAACACAAAAACTAGGAGCCTTTGGCCTAATCCAGGTTAATATGGTGCACTTTACCGATGTGAGTAATGTCTCAAAAGGGAAATTAAAATTTATATAATAAATACTAATATCTCTGATTTACAGATTATGCAGCTGGCCTATAGGCTGTTCACCTTCCTCAAATCGCATTAGATTTCCTTTGTACTTATGATCCTTGTTGTTTTCTAAATCTTGTATTTTATTTTTTATTCTTTTACACATTCTTTAGAGACTAACTAAAAGTTTTATTGAAACCTAATATAATTAATATAATTATTCCCCTTAAAACATGTAAAACTACTTTAGACTTGCAATCGTGTCAGTTTCAGGCAAAAAAAAAATCGATAAGTAAAGGCTTTGATTATAATTAAAGCAATCCCAGAGGAACGCGGGTACTAAAATTTATTATTGTTGACGTCGTGAAAGTTAGTTTCCGGCTTTAGTTGCTTTTTAGTTTTTGTTGCTACTTAGTTGCTTTTCATAAGGACACCCGACAGGATCATGGCTTCACCCAGGCGCGTCGTCCAACTGGGATTCATTTGGTTTTGCAATTTAAATGGTTTAACCACTTTTAGCTTTTACTCGGCAAGAATTCGCGAGTCCCGCTTTCTCTTCTGCTATCGAATATTTCACAATATCCTGGTAATGATCCTAACCATTAAGTTCTTGATGGACTTTTGGCATTTTAGTGCCGATTCCTTTGAGGAATCACCGCTGGTGCGCCTGGCTGCCATCACTTACTTTGGCTTGGTATTCCTGTCGCTCATCAGCTGCATGGGAAGTGCCCATCGACGACAGGATCGTATACGGAATTTGATCACGAAGCTCCAGGAAATGGAGGACGTAAGCAAATCTCGTAACTACAGGGTTCCCAGAGGCAGGAAGCGTTTCCTAAATCTCCTGCTGATTGTCCTGACCGCCCTGCTCGTCCTTCGACTAGCTGTTCATGCCTACTTGAATGTGAATAGATTTCGGCGGGGAATCCACAATCCCTGCAACTGCTTCCTGTCCGAGTGTATGATCTTTGCTATGAACTCCTTGGCCTTTGGCCTCATGCTAGAGATAGCCCGCAACTGGTGGCGACTGGAGTCGGGTTTGAAAATGCTGATCTTGGATCCGGAACCTCGGCCGGACCGGCTGACTCATTTACGGCAGCTCCAGACCATGTTCCAGTGCCTGATTGAAATGATGGATGAGGTGTGCTTGGTGTTTAGGTTCGTGTTTCTGTGCTATTTGATGCGGAATGTGTGGAGTGGAATACGGGTAGGATACATGCTAGTCCGCGTCTGTCTGGGTCACAGTGCCATTGAATCCGAGCTGGAGTATCTGCAGATGGTATTTGTGACCTGCATTCAACCACTGTTGTTCTCTTTGATGATGAACTCCCTGACCCATACCACCGACTCTCTGCTGGAGGATACCAAGGCCACGATTAGGGGGCTATATAGTCGCGGGAATAGCCAGGTGGAGCGCAGGGTAAGTTTTAGAGATTTTAGGTATGTAGAGGTTCTATATCTATTCTATCCCCAGATGGAATGGTTCTCCCTGCAACTGGCGGAGCAACACACCTATGTCCACATCTTCGGTACTTATCGCATGAATCGAAGCTTAGTTTTCGATGGCTGCTCAGTTATCCTGCTGCATGTCATCTATATGGTGCAGTGCGAGTACACTTCAATGTTTTAGATATTTAACTGATTCTTTGCACCTATTCTCTATATGTTTTGGTAAAAAAATAATCCTTAAATAACTAAATAATCTTTGCGAAGCCGTAATTTATATACCCTTGCAGTTTGCTATTGAAAATGGAATGGGAAATCACACACTTTGGCTGTCAAAATTAGTTATTATTATTTTATGTCATTGCTTGGTAGTTTAAATAAAAAAAGAGTGAAACAGTACAAATACTGTTTTAAATTACCAGATACTTGATCAAAAACGTTTGGTGTTTACAATTTCAAAAACTTCAAGTGCGGCAGTAACAATTTAAATTATTTCCTTTACCCGCCCTCTTACAGTACCTATCGCTGTTAACTTTCGTGTGGCCCTGGTTAAGCTTGCCTATCGATAACTTGCTTGCGTTAACAGCAGCAACAGCTGTTTTGCCAACCAGGGCTACATTATTGTTTGTTAGTTTTTTAGTTTTTGCACCAAACTTGTTGTCTCTTTTCTCTTCTTTCTTATATAAACAAATTGTGTGCTGTCCCGCTAAATCTAAAGATGCCAAATCAGTGCTAAAATCAAGTGAGTCTCCAGATGAAAACCGTGTTTATAGTTCTATTTATTTCATTAGTTGCTTAGCCTAAACAGTTTAAAGCTCAATTAAAAGTAATTAGTTAATACTCGTAGATAATGCTAGCATGTGTTGATAACCGTTGGCGTTGCACGGCGTCGCTGTTGCTGCAGTTGCTGTTGCAGTTGCAGTTGTTGTTGCTGCTGCTGCCGCTCGTAGTGGTCATCCTGCGTGTTATCCTTGGGCAGCGCTGCCGGCGTCGCTGCCGCAGGGTAGTATCCTAGACCCACGCCCGGCGAGGGCATGGTCGTGCTGGGCTGACCCATTATAGAGCTCATAAAACCATTGGCCACGACAAAGTTTCTGAAAAATTGATTACATCAAATGAAACCAACTCCTGGCAAAAGGACATCCCTTCTGGAAGGGATCGTCTAATTGGGTTTGTGTGCGCGTTAGTGTCGTAAAATTAATTTCGTGTTAATTTTATGTGGGGCCATCAATTAAACGTGCGACATTTCCCTGAATTACTTCCGTTTCAAAAAAGGAATACATATATCTAAATATCAATTAAAAAACAAAAACCTCTTCACGAGTTATCTATCAAAGGCGTAGTATTTAAGGCCTATAAAGGCCGATTTTTGGGTTTAACTAATTTTGGCATTTATGGGGGGTTTTTAGAAGGAAATTGTTAGATCTAATTTGGTTTAAATAAACCTATTTTCAATTATTTCAAATTAGTTTTTTCGTATAGAAAACTTGAAGCTCAAAATGAGAAGATGAGAAGAGAGCAAGGTTAAAAATCTTATCCGGAAGCTCTAAGTGATTTGAAAATTGATCCTATTTATTGTTCCTTAAAGTTAATATTCAAACCCACCTGTAATGCTGATCGATTTGAGCCTTTTCTATACGCTTATCCTTGGCCCGACGATTCTGGAACCAAATCTTGATTTGAGTCTCGGTCAGATGCAGTGTCTCTGCCAGCTCAAAGCGTCGGCTCCTCGAGATGTACTCATTCCGATGGAACTCCACCTCGAGGCGCAAAGTCTGTTCTGTACTAAACGTAGTCCTTTGACGACGTTGTCTTCCCTCCTTGCGACGCCTGCGAGCCACTAAAAAAAGAAAGAAATGGAAATAAAAATTGATTAAATTCAATTAATACGTTTTAATTAACAATTATCTGTCATATTTTTCACATTATTACTTGAGGGAACTACAGGCTTAATAGCTCGGAACAATGCCAACAATAATAACAATTAAATCTGTTCCGATTTAAATAAAACTACATTTGTAATTGCATTAAAATAATTTCCAGGAAGCTTAACCATTTACAATCACTTAAATTCATGCTTATTCATATTAATTTATTGTATCATATCGCTCGTTGATCTATTCAAAGTGAAATAATAACTAGAACACCCCTCAAACTCCCCCATTGCAAATGCTATTCTTTAGCTTCATTCTTTACCAACATAATGGAGATGTTAGAGCGAAATTAATCTTACATTAACAAACCATCAAGTTATGTTCGAGGCTAAACGATTCCGCGTGTGCTTGGTTGCGTGTTTGGCCAGTTAAACAAATAATTAATCGCTCTGCTATGTGTCCTGCTCCCCTGACCGACCATCCAACCCACACCACGTTCTCGTCCTTGTCCGATTCCAAGGCTCGCGTTTATGGTGCACATTAGAGATGCATTTTCAAGCAAGTTCCCCTCGGTTTATTTTTTTATTATTTATTTCGACAATCTATGCTGATCCGGGAAACTTTTAACAATGCAAACAGCTGGCCATTCATCGTCCTCGTCGAAATTCTCTCATCATCATCCTGGCATTTTCCGCATTTTCCGTACCATGGTCTCTGTTTGTTTGCATTCGGAGTGTCGCCGGCGATGAAGCTCAGCCGAGCGCACATTATGCCCCACTACCTCTGTCTCCTGGCAGAACACGGTACACCACCTGACACCCACTTACAACCACCCCAAAATTGCGGTTTAGTGTCTCTAATTGATGTAACAAGGCGAAGCTGACAAGTTGTTTTTTTTTTGGTGGAAGGGTGTTATAGGTTTTCGGTTGGTTTTGTGGGCGTGGTAATCCTAGTTTTTGCTTGATTACCCCTTGCCTGACTAACTCACAGCTTAAGTTCTCCCTCCTGGGTCCTTTCTTCCTGTGACAAGTTCTTTCGCTTTCCCTCTTTCTTCCTAAATATACATGTATTTTTTTAAATCACGTGTGAAATTTGATAGCCAAGTGTCCTTTGAACAGTTTGTTCTTCTTTTTCTATATGTTCCTTAACGCTTAACCCTCTACTTTTTCTTTTTTATGTTTGTGTTTTTTAGGTTTCCTGTCAAGCTCAATTACAATGTTACTTTTTTCTGTCACTTTTGTATGATTTTTTTAAGATTTGTGGGTTACAAAATAGGGGGGTTATATATTCAGTTGTAAATGGGAAATTATAATCAGGTGTCTTTTATTTTTTGGTAATGAAAAAGAAGGCTAATATATCATATTTCCTTTTAATAGCTCTCTAAAGCGTTGTTATAATATGATAATAAACTCTTTGGAATGTCCTTTAAGTTCCGATACTTGTATTATGATGTTAAAGATGTATTTACAAAATATTATTCTATAAATAAACCCACTTAAACCTTTTTAATCGAGTGCCTTCATCCTGCTTATAACTTTCCCTATTTATCCAAGCATACTCTTATTTATGATCGCTTTTTCATTAGCCATAATATTTCAATTTCTTTTTTGTTACTCTCACCTCACCACCACACCTGGGCAAGCTCATATTGGCCGCAAATGAAAAAGCCGCAAGTAAACGAAAACTTTTACGGTTCAATGCGTTTTAATTTTTTTTCTTGGCAATCATTTTTTTCCTTGGCTAATTTTCTTTGGCACTGAGGGTCGAGCTCATTGTGTGGCATTGTTTCCCCTGCTCCTTGGCAGCTAGCTAGCCAGCTTCGTTATGTTTATATTTTTTCTTGACTGATTTTACATAATCCTTGCCCATGCAATGATATTCAATAGCACTTGCACTTAATCAGCCCTTTTTTTCTGTATCCGATTTTTTGCAGTTCCTGCGGAACTAAGTTCATCTGGCTGGGCTGCACCTGCGCAGGCGTGTGAAATGTTCATCACTTCCTCTAGGCTTTTTCAATCCTGACTTTTGTACTTTCTCTCGGGGAGATTGGGTGCAAAATGTTGGCTCCCCTGGGCTTCAGCTGTCCGCGCTGTCTGCTCCTGAGACGGGGGCAGGACGTTGGGCCATTGGCTCCCTTGCCCGCCAATTGTCTGGGAGTAGCTCCAAAGACACCACCGCCGGCAAGGACACAGCTTCTAATGCAACAGGGAATAAGGATGTTGCCCCTAATAGCAAATCTAGCAGGGAAACCATCACCGCCAAAGACAATTCAAAGGAAAAGAAGTCCATCAAGGATATCGAGGTGAGTTTGTGATCATTTTTGGCTAAGGTTAAATATGAATTATATGATTATAGTATTGTAAAGGAGACATCAGACTATATTAGAGACTTATCCAAAATTAGAAAATTTTTTTTTATATAATTTGTTGTTTACTATCTAAGTTGTATCATTTTTTGTAATATTTCGTTTTATGAAGTGTCAGAAAAAAGGGTATTAAGATACAAATATTATTTACTTTTTTTTAAATGTAAATAGTTTTATTAAGAATCCTCAGCCATCAGAACTCATCTGAATTTTGCGTAAAATCTACTAAATATTTTTTTGTAGGACTAACTAATAACTAACTTCAGATTAACTAATAATCCCCAAATTAATATTATCTTCCCCCTTTATAGCTTCCCCCCGAGCCCACCACCTGCTGCATGTCTGGATGCGCCAATTGCGTTTGGCTGGACTATGCCCAGACTCTGGCCAAGCTACTGGGGGATAATGATGAAGCGGCCCGAGAACTTGTCCTGAGCAAGATCACCGACCCGAATTTGAAGATGTTCCTCAGCCTGGAGCTTCGTCAGATGGCGCGGCAGCGGGAGGAGAAAGCGGCTGCGGAGAAGGCAGCCGCGGGGAAGCCAAAGACACCGCCCTCGAAGTAGTACAAATGTCCTTCTCTCCCTATATCTTACCATCTAGTTAGGACCAAATTTGCAGTAGCTCAAATTTACTCTTGTACTTAATATCTAAGAACAAAAACAAAACCTCAAAATAAATATTTAAGAGTTGAGTATTCCAAGATGAGTTAGTTTTTATAAGGAAACTAGCCCAGGATTAATTTAAACTAGGTTTTATTTTATAAAAACTGTTAATAATTTACTTAATTTATTTAAGACACTTTTAAACACAGTCTAAATCTATATTCTACTTACAGAAAGCGGAAAATCCGGCGCTGAAATGTGGATCACTTGGAAATGCGGCGGGAAATCCAGGCGGCAGGACAGGATTCGTCACTCCCGCACTAATCACCGGCGGCGGACTCACATAGGTAAGTTTTTGCTGCACCTGCGGATGGAGAGGATGCTGCTGATGTGGCTGTGGTGGGAGGTAATCCTTGGCAGGACCATAGAAGTCGTAGGCGGGAAAGCCGGCAAGTGAGGTGCGTTCATCGCTGATGGAGATATCCGGCGAAGATACACTGCCACCGTCGCTGTGATAAGGCGTTTCACATGGCGGCGGCTTATGGTTATGGGTGCCAACGTCAATGTCTCCGCTCTCCGGGCTGCGCGTCTCCAAATGTCCGTAAAGTCTTTCGAAAAACTGTCGCGGCGACGAGGGTCTTTGCGGTATAGTTATAGTTATATTTGTAGAATTCGATTCCGGGTTCACGCTATCGCGTCGCTTGATGGGCTCATCATGAGACCCATTGGCACCGACTTCCACTTTTTGACGTTGCATATGGAAAGGAGCTACCGCGGAGCTGGCCAAACTAATCACTTTGGTAATCGGCAAGCGACTGAAAGGCCAAGAGTAGTGATATATCCACTTCCGCTGGTCAAGCGACGCTTATCCTGACGGGGGCGCCTAAAAAGCTGCTTAATAATAATACAAAAAAATGCCCCTTCCTCTGTGACACCTGCAGGCTGGTGGGAAGCTCACCTGATTGGCCACAACGCTGCGAAATAAACCCTTATTGTCACTTCCGGATGGAAAGTCCTTAAGGGTGTCATTAGCTCCGCCCCTTTCGAAAGCAGTAAACTGCTTGTGTGTAGCTGACTGTCAACGGAAAAGTTGTGTAAAATACGTAAGCAGTACACGTCGTTTTTACGCGTTGTTGCCAGACTTTTGAACAAAGAAAGTATAAATATTATTTTTTTATATAGTAAATAGTAGCAGAGGAATACAATTATTGGTATAAAAATACAATTTTTGAGCAATTAGCTCTTTTATAATATCCTAAATCTAGCTTGAAATTAGCTAATCGCTCTCGAGAGAATTTTGTTATTTTACGCTGGTCTTTCTGAATAAGAGCAGATCTGTTATTGAATTTTACTTCCTACATGCGATTTCTATTCCATAGGCGAGAATTCTACTCCATATATTTGTAAACATGTAAAATTGGTTCTTACACGTGTAAGGTGTAAAATGTTAAATTTTAATCGGTAGTGCCAAATATCGATAGTAGCGATCGTGCTCCGATGTTTGCCAGAAACATATCATTCGGAAAAAAATTTTCTAACAATAACAACGGCGGGGAGTGTTTCGCTCCGTGAAATTTCGTTATTTCTTTGATCGCGCGCGACGATTCGAATCGAAACTGTGTTTAAAATGTAATATGGATGAATATGGATCATATTATCTTGAAAATCCGGTATAAAAGAAGTGTAAACATCGTGTATTTAAGAATCGCCAAGTGAAGTTCACCGGTTATGTTTTTGGTCTGTCGTCTGCTGTGCGCTCGTTTCGCATGTACCGTTAGCTCGCGCAGCTGCCGCCGCCAGAGTGCCAATAAAGAATAATAACAATAAACAAGAGTTCAACAAGTGGCCAAAACAAAAAATTTATAAATAAAAAAGGTACGCAGCATCCCTTGCAAATGCAATTTCAATTTCGTTTGTGCTGCTCCAAAGAATAAACAAACAAAAACAGCCAAACAAAATTGCACTGCACTTGCTTTTGTTAGTTATTTTCTGTCCGGCTTTGGATATTAATTATATGTGAGCGTATGTGTGTGCGTGTTTGTTTTTATGATGGCTTTGCTGTTAGTGCAATGCAAAAATATTTTGTTAAAACTCGTTTCGTTTAAAGCTTAAGCGGCAGCTTAAGGCCCGCGACTGTGTGATTTTGAGTTTCTTCCATCCATCAATTTGTTTTTGTTACACTGACATAATCAAATTTTTTCGGCTGGTCTTTGTCGCTGTTTTTATTTTTCTCAAGCCCAATTTAAAAATATCTTCTGAGTGCACAGTGCAAAATAAGTTAATCGTTTTAGATGTTGAAGTTATAAATATTATTTAATAATTATATTAAAAATAGGGTTTTAGTAAAGAAACATTTCTTTGAGTGCAAGATGCAGCGGCATTACCCCCAATGGAAGAGAGAGACAGAGTGTCCACATGTCTTCTCACTGTCCTTCCAACAAAAACAATAAGCGGGGGAAAAGAAAATAAAAACAAGGAATAACGGCAGCCTTTCCATTGACATTTATGAGCGGCGCTAAGGGTGCATCCATCTCCCTTGCACACAGGAACTGCCAACCTCCCTCGTTCCCTTTCTCTGTTTCCGCACACACATTCAGAGGCGTGGGCGAGGCATTCCAGGGCTTTATTGTGGGATTTCTTTTGATTCCCCTAATTCCCACCGCGGGAATTCGCGTGGGCTCGTTTTACATTATCCTGGGCATGCGCAGCATATTACGGGAAATTGCTATGGAAATGACCGCGGATTTTTTTGATTGATAGAAATGTCGCTGCGCTTGCGTATTTACCGATAGCCAAGATCACTTAACAACAACAAATAACAGCTGTTGGCAATGTGTGTATGCTGACCAGTTTCCGTTATAAATGCGAGTGTGGAATAATGATGATGGGGTGGAGTAGTGACGAATGCACATGTGTTTCACACACATTTGTAGTTACTATAAAAAGAGTTAAAAGCCATTTGAATTGTACGTGCAGTAATAGTTATTTATACATGGCAACTTTAAACAATAGGTTTCTTGACTAATTCTAGTTACAATTTCGGATATCTATAAATAAAAAATTGAAGAAATAACATTGATATGGTTTGATAAGCATTTAAAGAAATGCTGCAGTTTTAATCTCTTTCGGGGATTTTTTAGACAGAAGCTTAAAAGAATGTGAAGGAGTCATTTCCGACCCTATAAATCATATATATTCTTTATCAGAATTATCAGCTGAATCGACCTAGTTATGTCTGATCAAAAAATTAATTTTTGAAATTTTTTCGAAATTTTAAAAATTTTATAAGGGGTTACATCGTTAAAATTTTCAAAAATTGGCAAAAATGTAATTTTTCTAATATTTTAAATTGACTATGCAGATTTGTTAACGTAATAAAAACTAACATATAACAGCTTTCCAAATTAAAATGAATGCCTTTTTAGGTTAGTTATGGGTTTTTAAACTTCCAAGAATACGAATATTTTAGTCTTAGTTGAAATTTCTTTTCGATTTGATCCCATAATTAATTATAATGCAAACTGCAGGGGTTTATAAGCTTCGGTTGCCGAAAATCATTTCTTGCTTTTAAACCTAATAGAACTATATTTATCTTTAGTATAAATAGTAAGACCTTAAAAGTATTTACTATTGAGAACTTGAAACCTAAATGATTCAGGCCCTGGGGTAGCTATTGGTATCTGGCAATTACCAAGCAGTTTTATTGCCTTTGTCACACTGGCCCCCTTGGAACGCTTAAGAAAGTGATTTGCATGCACATGTGAACTCCTGCTTCGCACCGCACTAATCCCACTCTTTATGCCCCCTTATCTTTGCAGTGCCAAAATCGTCTGACACACTTCAGCGGCTTACTTGGACGGGGTCATCGGTCGTCGTCTCCACTAATTGCTGACACACATAATTTCCCTAACTGCCTGGAAATAAATAAGTAAATAAGTAACGAGCGCGAAAAGAGAGCAAAAGCTGACCGCAAATTGAATTTACGGTGCCCCATCAAAGTCAAGTCGGTCGACTCTAACTAATTTAATGATCAAAAGTTACACATTTTTTTCGCACTCGGCGTCAGGCCGCTGAGCGGTGTTAATTGAAAGTGTCACGCGCTGTGCCGTCTAAAATTAAAATATCTATCAATTATCGACTGGTTTTCGTCTATGTGCGAGTGAGTGAGTGAAAGTCAACAATGTGCCGTGGAGGAGCAGAACTGTCGGTCATGTCCTGGCTCATCCTGGTGCTCTTCTGTGGGGCAATAGGCACACGGGCTGCCACACCCTTTGCGAAGGAGTACCGCAGCGCGGGACTCTTCAAGGGCAACACACTCGTCGATGTGGATGGATCCACCACCTTGGATGTGGGAGCAGAGAAGCCCACGAGCAGCGGTGGACTAAGTGGAGGTGGTTTCAAGTCGGAGTCGTCGGTGGTTCTACCGGGCATGGATCTAAATTCAGGTAAGCTGAAGATCTGTTTCTCGTAAAAGGGACTAACTTGATCAAGTTTTTAAGTTCAATTTAAAATGTATCTCATATTAAGGTAAATGCCCCAAAAACTGGGCTTCCTCATCCCTCTACTGGCTCATAGGAGAGACATTTCTTCCCAGAATTATGTATCCCAACTAAAACATTCAACATTCATTCATTCTACTCATATCAACTTCATTCTTCAACAAACCCGAAAAAAGACAACCGAAACCCAAAAACTTGGAATCCCTTGAAAGAAGTAGGAAGTATACCCTTAGTCGCCAGGTATTCATACACCGGCGCTTATCTAACCTTATCTTACAACACTTTCCTGCCCTCCAGTACCCCCTGGGCTCCCATCCTTTCCGGCAATCGGTGCCTCATTCGTGTCTTTGGTTTATTTATGACCTGCGCCTTGGCGGCATCATATTTCAGAAAGAAAAACAGGGCAACAAATGTGGGGAAACAAGTGTATTTGTCTGCCGGTTGAATCTCAGGGTTTTTTTTCGGGGCATATATTATCTCCCTCGTTCATTGTGTCTTCTTGTCTGCTTTTAAAGGAGAGCTCCTCCTTCGGTAATTCAATCGCCGGTGCAACACTCCATGGACAAGAGAGCTCAGCTGCCCAGCTGGCATTGGCATCCAGGATGTCAACCGCAGCTCATCGCAGCTCAGCTGAAAATCCAATCCCAGACGTACTCCATCCCTATTGCAATCCCATTCCCGTTTCGGGCACGCTCGGCACATCCGCCAAGCAATTTTCCTGCCTCATTATAACGAGATTAAAGTGTAATCACGGGGAGAGAGACAGACGTGTGCTGGAATGGCTCTCCCCGGGGGTTTCTCTCTATAGTCTTAATTTCCATTCCCCCCACATTTCGGGGTTCTTCTTCGATCTTTTGCCAAAGTGCGAACTTCCTGCCTCAAGTTGAGTCCAGTGAAAGGGATCTTCAGTCTCGAGTGTCGGTGGGAGCTCGGTGTGTTTACCTTTCCATAGTCAGTGGTTGCCTTTTTGGACGTCCGAATTCTGTCTCACATTAACCTCCTCCAAGCCCCCCTGCTTTATGGTTGATTTAAATGTCATTTAAGCCGCTTAACTTGGCCCTCTCGGTACGTTTCTGATTTGGTGTTTTTATGACAACATTTTTGAGTTTTATGCGAGTCCCATTTTATGAGCGTGAAAATGAAAGTACTTTCGTCTACCCTTTCTCTATCCTCTGTCTCCCGTCGTCGCGTCGGCCTTTTCCTTTGGAGTTGAGTTGAATTTGAGTTTTTGTGGCCTCCAACTTATGACTCGACAGCAATTTCAAGACTTGAGTAAACTCAACGAACGTAAATTTGTGGCTTTCTTAAATGTGTCATAATTAAAAGCAACCAAACGGGCTCTGACACTTTCGTGGGCTGATGTGCTATGCGGGCTTTGGAATGATTAAGCGGTATATTCAAATAACCCTAAGCTAGATTTAGATCAGATTGAGATATGATCGAGATCTTTGGGTGGCCACCCTCAGCTTGTAAATCAGAGCAATGTATCGAATTTCCTGTGTTCAAAACCATTCAGATTTTACAGACCTTTTCCCTACGAGCCAGGGGTGCTCAGCCCTAGCACCAGGGAGCCCCTTTTGGGTTTTCATAGAGACAGCAAAACGTGACAAGTTGGCGAAGAACAAATTAGAAATGAGAACATTCCTTGAGTCCTGCTTTAATGGGTGATTTTCAGGCATTTCCTGAATTCATTCTCCACAAACATGAGATCTAAATGGAAGAAACCAAAGACCGTTAAAATAGTTGCACGCCTTTTTGAATAAATTTAATCCTGCTCTCTTCCTGGACATTGGCCGAAAAATATTAAACGTTTGCCCCTTGGCGGCTCAGAGGGCTACCTGAATGTTCTCTCCATTTCCAAGAGTCTTTTCTTATTTTGTTTTTTGGGGTCCACATAGCAGCGCTTAAAATTTCAGCAAAGCACGCAAACTTTGGCAGGAACCAGGGACCAGTTTTTGGTAGCAGAATCAGTTTTTGGTATAACTTGGTCTGGGGTCTCTTTGGCCCCGAGTACAGTACGCAGGCGCAGAGATCTTAGCAGGAGGCTGTTGTCGCTGCCGTTTCTTTCTGGGGTCCCTGGCACTTCAACTCTTCAGCATGTATTTAGATAGGCCAACGTCGAAAGATACAAGCCGCGCGTCGTGTATCTGTGAGTTCGTGTTTCTCTTTGGCTGTATCTGTGTATCCACGGCGCAAACAAAGCCAGCCGACAATCGTAAAAACTAAACGACGAGGGAATTTATGAGGCCTCTTCGGTCCGAGAAGCAAACGCAGACGCAGACGTAGTTCCTCGGCCAGAGGTATGTGTGTCTAGATCAAGTGCCAAAGTCAGAGCCCGGGCATTCTTCGAGTTAGATAACAGAGAGCAGGGCTTGTGTCATGCAAATGCAGATACAGATAAAAACTGAATGCAGTTTTGCAGTAAAAATATATAAATCAAGGCAGCAGCATCAGCAGGTACAAGGAAGGCAAACGAACTGCCAGAACGGCTCTGGGTAGGAAAAGAAGAACCAACCAAAGTGCGAAATATCCCACAGAGCGAGCGGCCGTTGCACAGATGCATCTGTTAGATACATTTGCCTGCAGCAGCCTCTCGGGCCCATCGTCCATCCATCGTTAACGCTGCCACGCTAATTTGACGAAAGCCCATTTCATGGCATTTTTCCATCTCGGCACAGCGATTTCATGCCCTGGAACTCGGGACTCTCGGGACTCCGGGACTCCGATGCGGATGTGGACGTGGACTCGACCGTTTGTATCTCTGCATCGTACAGGTAGTTTTTAACACCTTAAAACCCAATCGTTTAGTGCGCACAAGTGTCTAGCCTCACTTTGGAATGGCCTCTCCGCCCCGCTGACCGGTCCTCGGGGGCATTGTGTTTACGCCTTTTGCGAAAAAGTCAGGAGAGGAAAAATGAAACGGTTTCTTTCCAATTTTATGGCCCGAACACCGATAACCTGTGCGTTGACCCCTCCCTCCACCTGCAGGTTCTGTGTGTTTTCCGATTTTCCCATTTTCCCATTGTTTATTTTACCAGTCGTTTGTTGTTGCTATTTTATTTGTTTTTAATTTTACATTCAAAAGGAGAACGAAACAGTTAGGGGAATATTGTGCAAGGCGGTGAAGTACACGCCCGATACTGTAAACTAATTAAAAACGAAGGGTTTTTATGATTTTAGAATATTTTTTAATATTTAACAACAAAGGAAACTATCTTAAAGATGCTGATGTTTATTTACCCATGCAGTTTGGTTTTTAAGTATAGAATCGTATAGGAAAACAAGCACATTTAAGTTTAAAATTCACGGTCTTTGATTCGGTATTTGTTGTAATTATGACAAGTTTAATGAAAATTCAAAGATTAAAAATCTCATAACTAAGCTAAAAGAGCATTAATTCAAATTTGGAAACCTTTCCTATGCTAGTTTTTGCTAGGTTAACAAATCTGCATACTCAATTTAAAACTTTAGAAAATTAAAAATTTTGTAAATTTTTGACATTTTTAACGATGTAACCCCTTATAAAATTTTTAAATTTCGAAAAAATTTCAAAAATTTATTTTTTGACCGGACATGCTTAGGTCGATTCAGCTGTTGATTTTGATCAAGAATATATATGATTTATAGGGTCGAAAATGACTCCTTCACATTATTTTAAGCTTGTGACTAAAATTATAATACCTTTAGATGAGGTACAAAAATGAAGTTTATATAGATTTATATAGACAAGTTTGTTTTTCGGTCTGTTTTTTATACCATATCGGTGGTCATTCTTTGGAGTACTCACTGTAAATTCTCACCGATTTGTTTATCGAATTTGTTTTTGGGTTTTTATGAACTATTCGGTGCAGTGTGCTGCTGTGGTCCAAACTTTCTACATCTCCCGGGCCTGGCGGAATAGGCAAATTTGGTAGATTTTTATCAGGGCGCATTGTTTGTTGTTTTGGCCACGAGACAAGACAAGCAAAGTGCAACAATTTTGGGGCCACGAGCCAAGCCACCTACGTTGAATTTGAACCACCACCACCAACACCACCCTCTTCACTCCACTCTACCCCCGGATGCAATTTTTAAACAAAAGACAAGACCATAAACAGGTGTCTGGCAATGTTTTTCTTTTCCGCGCTTTTCTCTACCTCTCTCTCTCTCTGGATTTTAATTTGAAAAGTAACCGAAACTAGCGGTGTGTGTGTGTTATTTTTTTTTGTTTTTGGCAGCGGCCAACGCATTTTTCCCCTCCCAAATAGAGGCCCCTTCTGATACTTCACCCACACACAGATGCCACGCAGCTAAATACAAAACTTTCGATTAGAAAGAAAGTGCCAAACAAAAAGTGAATGTTATCCCAAGTGGAAAACAACAGAAATTCAATAGAAACCCAAAAGTGCCATAAAAATATGCCATAAACGCAACAAAAAACTAAAATCTTCGAAATCAATTGTGACCTAGCCCTGTCTCTCTCATTTGATGATATGCATGTCTCTTTCTGCACAGAATTCCGGCAACTCATAGCGAAGGCGATATACTCTATACTGGTGAATGTAGGCGTTTCGATCCGGCGCCGATTTCTTACGATCGTGCCGGTCTCAATGTTAATAAGATTTCTTTAGGGCACTGCCACAAAAATGTGATCTTTTAAGGAATATAAAATTTAATTAAACCATTAAATCTATTTTTAAAATATACCCTCTGATTTAGATCAAATAAATATAATATCTATATAAAATTTAAGATGCAAATGAAGGCCCTTAATAGGTCCAAACATACTTTTACAGCTCTTCTTTATGGACAAACAAGTATAAAATTAGGTTCTCGAAATATACCTTAAATATTAACATCTTGGTGCCGTTTTATGACTTTAATTAGTATGTTTTAATTGAAATTAAACCTCGAGTTGTATTTACTTAAAAGGCTCATACACTTCCATTTTTTTTCTTTGAGTGTTC